GCGTTATCCCTTTATAAAACCCTGTGGTGCGCTTGTGGATCTATTACTAATCTACTCGCAGAGTGGATCACAAAATATTGATCTCGATCACAAATCTACTAGTTTCCCTTTTGTAACGAATTTCCTGATAAACTATTATTTTCGCGAAGCACACTTTGAGAAACACTATAAATACAAATTAATGAATATTGTACATAGAAATAATATAGAAGACCAATATAAACATAACATTTAAGCAGAAATTGAAACCTACTGTGCATAAAAACGCGTCTCTGCGCCTGACATCGCAAAATAGTGTGTCTAGAAGCTTGCGCAATATGCATGACTTGTCCCTGTAGTGTTGCCAAATATATTAAACATACCTAACAGAAAAGAATTTTAAATTAATTAATTTTTAAATTATATGATTTAAACAGTTTATATCTACGAAATATCGCCACAAAATAACTTATACACATTTAAATAATCAACTAATAATATTTATGTGTAATTACATTCCCAAAAATATATACAAATACCGTATTAATGTCATTAATACCGTATTTTTAATGTTCATTAAGCGATTCACCTACAAATTCAATATTGACCTGGCAATAGCACTAAAATCCGGTGTTTCAAGGCTATATGACGCTGCCCTTACAGGACCGTTTGTAGTTTATTATTTATGCCGCGTTTGAGAATCCACATCGGATGCATCTGAGATGTAGTAAGTAGTAAATCTTTGATCACGTGATTCAGTATACGTAAATGTAATGGGACAGATGTGTCCGATGTGGATAAAAAACGCTCGAGATGTAAAAAATGCATCCGATGTGGATTCTCAAACGCGGCATTAATTACACGATGAAAGTGGCATTTTATTTTTAGTTTTGTGTAGTGTTTAGTCAAATCCTAGGTACAATAAGACATTTTTACATTGGCTAATGAAAATGTAATCAATGTATTAGACAGCTGTTATATTTATTACAAGATTTATGTCTGCAAATCTAAACCTACCTAAGAATTATAATTATTTAAATAGAGAGCTGTATATTTATATACAGGCTGCCCAGCGACGGGGAGACATTATCGATATCGGTTTTAAGGCATTTTAAAACATAAACCCGATCTCAACAATCTTAGGAACTCTTCTGTCACTCGATATTTTAATCGGTACTTCCTCTTCGCTTTTTGGCTGGCACAACAATTATTTACATTTCTTCATTCCTTACCGCGTTCGAACCAGTAAGGTTTAAAGAAATTAAAAAAAAAACCTACTTTAAAAATAAAGATGGTAATGATTTTCTTATGGATCCCATCTTCAGATCTTGACTTAATGTATATAAAACTGTTTCCTTTTCTAACAAAAATAATCCTAGAAATCGGGCAACGTGGTAAAGAATTATCGCTCAACATACATAAAAAAATATTTCAACGAATTGAGAATATCCTACCATTTTGAAGTATGTTAAAAAAAAATTGTTAATAAAGTGAAAAGTAGGGCATGAACATATATTATAAAGTATATAAAATGATAGATAAATCCAGTTTAGAAGGTATTATAAATAAACTGTGGAAATATCGAGAATCTCGATTTTGAATCGGAAAAATATTCTACGCAATTTAGTATGAAAGCTAATCAAAATGAAACACATGAACGACAAACTGTTATTGACAACTTTCTTCAAACGTTTTCTATTTTTCCGAAAACTAACTAGATAATTCGAAAATCATTTCCTTCGTTAAAACGCCTCTTGTTCCGAAAAAGGTACACGCCTGCCAACATTCATCGTTCATTAAAAAAGTGGTAGATACAAAACGTTTCGTATTGTAAGGCCAAAATATATTTAGAAATCGAAATAGTCATATAAACAAAAAAATCATATGAGTGAGATAACTACCAAATTAATGATTTACAAGTTTATTCCTATTATTTATAAAATAGGTTTGCAATGTGCTGGTGTGGAATGTTATCATCGACTAAAAACTTTAAATCTTTGTATTAAATTGATCGAAAACAAACTATAAATTGGTTTAGGCTATATAGAATGTTTCTAGTAAGCAGCAACTAATTTTTATTATGGAACCGAAAGACCCTTTTAAAAAGGTTCAAAATTAAAATAAAATATGTACCAAGTAAATGTAGTAGTATTTTTTAATTTATATTGAAAATGGTAACATGAAAGGTTTTCTGTCTAACGACTCATAGTCTCGGCTGACAAAATGTAAAAAAATATCGAACATAATATTCCTGGGCCCTATTTTGCACTCCCCAGATTAAATTTAGTTGTAGCAAATGATATTATCAAATAAGATGTCAAATCACAAGCAAAATCTCGTGACTACAGTACTAATGATTGCCTGTTTGGAAAAGTATCTTTGTTTGTAAATATTTATATGCATAGTTATATTTAAATGCGCGAGTGTAATGTTAAGTATAAACAAAATCCGCCCATTATGTATATACGTTTAGTTACCGACCCTAGTAGATAGGCAATTTGTTATTGTTTTAAGTTTTACCGTAGGGAGAGAGAAAATCAATATTAGGATAAATGGTCCAGATCCTTTCTGATTACGTAGGTACCTAAAAAGTATTTTAGTTTTTGGTTAAGTAATTAATTATTGTAACAGTGATTTTCTTGTGATAGTACCTAATTTAGATTGTGGATTAAAGTTTTTGTATATAATTTCGCTGTTTAATAATAAACGTAGTCAAAACCGGAGCACGTGGTTTTCTGGAAAGTATTTTTAAAATCACAAGCAAAATCTCATGACTACTGTACTAATGATTGCCGAAAATTAACTAATTCATATTTTATGCCATATCTTTCTTAATAACGACTGTCAGAACCATATTTACCTTAACTTGAAATTTTTTTAATCGTTTTTTGTATATAATCATCTCTAAAAATGTATGATTGAAATATCGTGCGAACTATTTGTTCGATCAATAAAAAACTTGCACCGGTCCTGTTCGCGCCAGCACCGTTATACGCATGAGCTCCGACACACTATTTTCTCCTTATGGTTTCATTTTTGATATATGGAATCGGCTTTCTGGAAAGTATTTTTAAAATCACAAGCAAAATCTCATGACTACTGTACTAATGATTGCCGAAAATTAACTAATTCATATTTTATGCCATATCTTTCTTAATAACGACTGTCAGAACCATATTTACCTTAACTTGAAATTTTTTTAATCGTTTTTTGTATATAACCATCTCTAAAAATGTATGATTGAAATATCGTGCGAACTATTTGTTCGATCAATAAAAAACTTGCACCGGTCCTGTTCGCGCCAGCACCGTTATACGCATGAGCTCCGACACACTATTTTCTCCTTATGGTTTCATTTTTGATATATGGAATCGGCTTTCTATACTATTTCTATGATATTGTAACCTTTATTCACATACACCTTTTTTGTGAATTGGTTTGGCAGCGTATTTAGTGATGAAACACCCTGTATAACGAGATCTTAAATAATGAACTCATCGATTGTCTCTTTAAAGTCTTTCATTGTTTAATTTGATAAGAGTAAATGTCCGAACTCTCCCCGAAGTATATGCCAATTATTGTTGATGTGATTTAAATCGGGAGTGTTTGATGTTTGTTGCTGGTCCCCCCGCCGAAGCCTTATTAGGGTTAAGCAGAGGGTGGTAATCGAATAAAGATGATCGCCTTGATAATATTAATGACGGCCCATTAGTCTGATTGCGAGATACGCTGGTTTGTCAATTAGGCGATGTTAACGTGCACAGTAATGCCCCGTCAACAAGCTTTCAGTGTTTAAAAATTAAGATGATTTTGTATTTTGCATTTTGCATTTTTTGGTATCTAAATTATATTTTATTTAATTAATCTTCGTTTCTCAGCACTAATACACCACATTCGTTTCCTAAAAGGTAGGAAGAATTTAAATTTTAAATTAAAAAATAAGTCTTACATTTAAAAATCATAAATCACATCATTTTCTTTTACTTTTGGTTAAATTGAAATGAATACATTATGTAATGTTTAAAAAACTATTTTTTCAGTATATACAGGGCCGACGAAAGGGGGGGTTGGCAGGTGGGACAAATTCCCGTGGCCCGGGCACAAAGGGAGCCCCGACAGCTGTAGGTGGGGACGTTTTATTTTTTTTTTAAAGTTCACGACAAAAGGGGGGAGCTCTGGTTTATATAAAACACAACATGAGTACCTTTTTTTTTAGAGATTTCCCTAAAAAGGATCTAAGTTTTGCTTGAAGATCTATTTTTTTGAAATGTGATATCGAAAGAGCTTAATTCTTTTTATAAAATTGTCCCCGGGGCCCTACCTGGTTCTCGGCGGCCCTGAGTACGTAATTTGTATTTTTAAATCGTGTTGGTTATTTAAGTAGATAGAAGTACTTTTTAGTTACTGATTGACATCAATAATCATTAATAATAATTTATTATTACAGAATTTTGAATAAATATTTGGAAAATAAAAAAAAACCACAAAAAAACACATAAAAAATGTTAAGTGATAAGCATATCAAAGCAGCAAATACAGTATACAGGTCTGGAGTTGGACGAAATTTGTTTTAAATTATTTTTAGGTAGGTACATGCCAAAATATCTGTGTACTGGAGACAGACAGCGCCAGCGGTTGCTTACGTAGGGTTAGCTTTGCCTGTTGAACTATGTTGTTTTTACTTTATTTTAAATACATATTTTTATAAACTCGAAGAAAGGTTTTTCCTTTTCCAATTGTACTAGGTTTTCCTATAGTTTTGGATAGATGGTGTCCCTTTAGAAACGAAAAGTTAATGGAAAATTTATCTAAAGTCAAATTATAAATTCTGTATCATTTTTAATATTTTTCAACCATAAAGACACGATAGATGGTCTCATAATTTATCAATTTTTTCCCGATTTATCTGAGTTTTGTCTCCAGTGATTTACTAAAACACAATACTGGGCATTTAAATTAACTATATTCTATATAATATGCCTCTATATGCTATGTATAAATTATTTGTTAATTTGTTACAGATGCAACCCAGAAAGCGAACTATCATTTCCGGGTTTTGGAAGCGGTTGCGGCGGAAGCGCTTCCAGTATGGCCTACTTGAAGTCCGCCCCTTATCCTGTTCCCGGATTAGGACTACACGGATTACCAGTGGATTCCTTACATTCGTCCATGGCTGGCTATCCAGGAGGTAATAATTTTAAATTACATTAAATTATATATTTTGATCCAATCTTTGAAACTAGATGTTTCCAAAATACAGGGTGTTAAAAATAAACTTTTCCCACAATTGATCATAGCCAAAGAACTTAAAATTATTATTTCTTGAAAGATAATACTTTAATAAAGAATAAATGTCTTTTTTTTGTTGAAGTTGTTCATAATAAATTTATAAGGAATTTGTAGATACCTGTGGATATCGCAAACAGGCTAAAAAAGCGTCACAACTCAAAAAATATAGTTTCGATAAAAAACCGTTAAAAAGATAATTAAATTCGAAAAATAGAAACAAATGAGACCATTTCATATATGATGAAACAAGAGATTAGTACCGATATGTTGATAAATAATTTTTATTATTTTATTTTACAAAGTGAAAATATTTATTGAAACCACTAAACACAAAATGCAAATAAAAATTTATTCCATAATCAATAATTGATAAATTTACATTACAAGTGTAACTGTTTTATTTATGTGTGTATCGCAAATAAAATATTAAATTTGATTATGCTATCTCTCGAAATGAATATATATCAATTCAATAAATCATTAAATGGGAATTCGCGTGGTTATTTTATCTAAAATTCGAAATATTGTAAATAAAACTGTTTCGTATTACTGGAGTTCATTTGCAATTAAATTAGTGATAAATACTACAAAGTATACCTAATGCTTTTGGAAACCTACATTTTTACTTTCCTATCTGTATACAGATATAAGGAAAGTATAGGAATCATGATTTTTTTCGACCTCGAGTTTTCGACGGATTTTTACGTTTTGAGGTTACCTGAATCCGTTTTGACTATTTTCGCGATACACCTACGGACCACTTCAAGAAATTTTGACATAAAGTAAAAATAGATAATATTAGAAGTAACTTTTATTTGAACAATTTTCTTCTCCAAACATAAATAACAGATATATTCCATAAAATAAAAAAAGGCATTCCATAAACTACCCCCCAGATGTTCCGACTTTGTCCAAAATCTAATTATTTCACGTCAGGCCGAAATAAAACTTAAGTTTAAAATTTAATGTTTTTTTCTTTATCCGTTTTTGAGTTTTCTTCATAATTCAAAATTTATACGTTTTTTCAAATATCTCGAATACGGTCCATTTTAGAGAAATTATGTATAGGATAAAAATTATAGAAAATTATATTACAAACTTTTATTTAAACAGTTTTTATAAAAAATATTTTTTTTACATTTTGTCAAATTTCTCGAATACGGACCATTTTAAGAAAATTTTGCATAAAACAAAAATTATAGATAATAATATTAGAAGTAACTTTTATTTGAAGAATTTTCTTCTCCAAACGTAAATAACAGATATATTCCATAAAATATAAAAATGACCACCTATAAAGTACCCCCCAGATGTTCCGACGCTGCCCAAAATCTAATCAGTTCATTGGACGCTGGAATAAAGCTTAAGTTTAAAATTTGGTGTTTTCCTTTGTATCGGTTCATGAGTTATGGTGGATACAGACACACACACAGACACACACACAGAAAACGTAAAAATCCGTCAAAAACTGAAGGTCGAAAAAATCATGATTCCTATACTTTCCTTATATCTGTATACAGATAGGAAAGTAAAAATACATAATTCAAATTAGGTATTTTTTTCATAGGGAAATACACCTATGGTTAGGTTAGATAGATATTAAGATCTATCTAACCTAACCATAGGTGTATTTCCCTATGAAAAAAATACCTAATTTGAATTGCAGTCCACTGCTCGACCTCTAGTCGTTGTTTAATCTATATATACCTATATTTTTATCATTAATTAATTAATAGTGAGTAATTTTTAATTTTCATTTTTTAAATAAAAGTATTTTTCAAAATCTACCAAGTTTGATTTTCTCATTTTAACAATATGGATTTTCATCAAGTAAAAGCAGAAACAATCAAGAATTTAGAAAACAAGGAAGTTTATATAGCAAAACCAATTATATATGCATTAAAACATGTAGTTAAAGAACATTATAGTGAAGATAAAAAAAGCTGTAAAAGGTGAAATGGTTAAATAATTTCTGGAAAACTGTGCCAATAACAAAGATTTATTGAATTTTAAAAGTAAAACCAGGAGAAGAACTATGGCTGTAACAGATTGGATAACCTAAAAAGAATGGGTATTAAATATTGCACGAGAAAACAGAAAATATTCGAGAAATGTAAAAGAATTTAAGAATACTAAAATGGATATTCATATACAGGGTGATTCATAAGTACTTTGACAAACTTCAGGAAATGATTCTTTGAATAATTTTAAGGTAAAAAGTTCTTATAAACATGTGTCCGAAAATGGATGGTTTTCAAGATACAGGGTGTTAAAGTTTTAAGAAAAAAAATCGTTTTTTATCATATCTTTCATACTACTGAAGATAATTTAATGAAATTTGGTACACGTTGTTTTACCATAAAATGACATTTTATGATGCTATTAACTTTTTTATTTTCATCAGTGGCGTCCCTACGGTATTTAAACTAAATATTATTGAAGAAAAAAATGGTACGCCACTAATTTTTAAAAAAAATCAAGTCCAAACGTAACGACTTCTAACAAGGGTAGCTTTTTTACATAAATTTGATAGGGAAATCGATTTTTTTACTGAAAAATGTGCTAGAAGTACGCTCCAAATTTTTTTAGCGATTTAGTCATGTTTGAAAATGGTTTTTAATTTTTTTACATGAACAAAAGTCAAGAGATCAAATTTGGAACAAATTAAATGTAGATTTTAAAAATAATTTTTATTTTTTAAAAAACCAGTGGCGTACCATTTTTTTCTTCAATATTTAGTTTAAATACCGTAGGGACGCCACAAATAAAAAAAGTTAATAGTCTACTTAAAATAAGAAATTAAGTAACGCCTGTACAAGGGGGGCCCTAGGGGGGCTCAAAAATCTTTTAATTTTGATTCATTTTAGCGAAATATAGTCATAAAATAGTCCCAAATTTTTATAGTTATTAGTATAAGCTAGAACGTTTGTTTATTATCAGCAAATCCAAGATAATATCAAATTTGTGATTGTGGAAGTGTTACAATATCTTTATAATACATTGCTGTTTTTTAGGTAACCAAAGAAAACAAAGAAGAGAAAGAACAACATTTACCAGAGCCCAATTAGATATATTAGAAGCATTATTCGGTAAAACTCGTTATCCAGATATATTTATGCGAGAAGAAGTGGCCTTGAAAATTAATTTACCAGAATCCAGAGTTCAGGTAAATATAAGTAAAAATAATAATTTATGGAATCCTGACAGATTTACCTAACTATCTAAAAATGGTCTAATATATTGTTATTTACAAGTTTTTACAAAATAAATAGTAAAATAATTATACAGAGCGAGAAAAAATATATCAGTGAATCAAATTTTTACCTAAACATATTAATAAAGGCATGAAAAATAGAACACGAAATATATTTTAAAATGTCGATACCTTTTTGCCAGACTAACGTAAGCGACATTTTTTTAAAATCATGGAGATAATTTAAATTTATAGGTATATAACATTCTCACAATAGATCTGCGGCTAGCAATAATTTTTTCTCCTAACGATCTTGAATAATAACAGTAATTAGGGACCCCCAATAAATTTAAGCACTAAAGGGGGATGTACGTCAATACCTGAACAATATACAAACGTGTGCCAACAATAAAACATTAAAATACCTACTCAATAGCCGTCCAGAACAAAGTGTACAATGTAAAGGCATAATCATAAATCAGCGGAGAATCAGAAGGTATCACCAAGGGCGGCACTGAAGGGCGGTAAATGGGTCAGATTTTAAAAAAATTACGTAAAAAGTGTCTGAATTGAAATATGTATTATATTTGTATACAGGAATTATTTAATGTTGAAAATCAGTTCAAACTAAATTACATGTCATTATCACCAGTTTTTTAGTGTTATGACTAAATAAGGATTTAATTGTAGTGGATTTATTTTAATCTGAAGGAACCAAGAAAAGTGAGGTGGATACTTTTCATTGGACTACACTGTATATGTTGGTCTCTTGTCTAATTTCTGATTGTTCTTCTTAAATAGATATTTGTCTGCAATTTGCAGGAAATTTTAGAAATCTTACTATTTCACCTGGTTCTAAATCCTTTAAAAAAATATAGTGATTCATCTTTTTTCTGGTATCCTCCTATAAATTATTATCGGAAAAGTCAGGTTTTTATATCTGTCTTTTGGTTTGTTTTCAAATACCTTTATTGTTTTATCACTGATATTTCTTTGGTGTTTATCTTTTTTGTTAGGGTCACTATGTATAGTCGTTTTTGTTTGTTTCTGTTGAAAAAGCGATGAATAGATAATGTTTTGACCGACCATATTTATTTTCGTATACAATTAGTTTTTTAACTAGCATATTACTTTGTATTACTGGTCACTTTTAACAGAATTGTCCAAATCATCACCTAACTTGTCTAGATTCTTTTCCCAACATAGCTATGTATTATCGTCTAAGTATTTAACATTGTTTAGTTGTTAAAAGCACCCATTTTCGCGGTTTGACCAATATATCGGTGTTCTCGTGCCATATATAAGATATTTAGCCATTGACTATTCATGAACCGCAGAAATAAGATTGAAATACCTGTGCAATCACAGGCCTGGCAGATGTAGATACTTGAATTAAAAGATTACCTCCGATTTAAGACTATTATTCTGCCGTCCTAGCAAGAAAGGTCTTATATTAACATTTGTTGTTTGGAAATAATCGAGTTTTTAACTATTTTTATTTTTTAACTAGTTTTAGTACCTTTACGAACATTCCGTTTTGGTATCAAGAAAGACAAAATGTAGGCAAATACAAAGATATTGAAAAAACTGCTAATTTTGCAGATAGGACCTTTTTTGTTAGGGCGGCAGTATTATAGAAACACAAACGGAATTATTTGATTTATTTACAGCATTTCTCTAGGAAATTTGTTACTTTACGCATTAAGGCCATGGTACTTAAGAACTAATTTAGATAACATAATGGCGGACAGAGCGTCCCTTTTTTTATCGCGATAAACTCGCGTGGTATCGATGACTGTTTTAGTAGCATTGACGAAGCGGACTTGCAACGCTTGTGACGAGGATTGGATGACGCTTGTGACGCATTAATTTTGTTGGAAAACTGTCTTATTGGCCAAAAAAGTGCAGAGTACAGAGACGTTTTATTATATTAAATGAACAAAAAGCAGAAACACCCCCAAGAAAATATTCAGTAACGACCTTGCGAGATGACATTAGAAAACGATCCATTTCATCGTGAACACTTGAATACCGGATCGTTATACCTTATTAGCCCGCTGGGATGATGCTGGAGCACGTTTCGCATTTGTTTCGCCTACGGTTATTGTGATACTTTGGTTACTCTGACACCCTCTCTTTCGGGTCGTCACAGAGTGAACAGTAGCAACCGGGGGCGGTTAGTATGTGCTTTTTCTTTTGACGATGACTTTGTTGACTTTAACGAGGTATGTTTGTTTTGAATCGGAAAAGCTTTGACGGTCTCATCCGTCATTTGTTTAATTAATTTTCGGTTTTGAGGAGGAAGAGGATCTGTGTACTTCCAAAACAATATATTTAGCTAATTGAATAGGAATATTTTTAAATATATAAATTTATATTTAACTTTTTTAATAAAGTCATCATCAGGTCTTAAATTTAAAATATAACTGAATTGGTAACATAAATGTATATCAGGTAAGTTAAAAAACATCAAAAGGAAAAATTCTTAAGTACATTTCCTAGTAAAAACTATAATTGAATCGTTTATTTCAGAAACAACCTAAATCACTTTTTGTCCATATTGGGTTTATCACATTAACACTGTAGTTTCAGAGTATCACAGGTTTAATGCAGAAAGAACCCAACTTCCGTAAACATCCTTAGTTATAAGACAATTTAAAATTTTAGTTTATTTCTAAAACAACTTAGTCCTGGTCCTAGTTCAAAACATTATTTTTTCCCTCCTGAAAATTCTTAAAAAGTGACTTAGGTTGTTTCTGAAATAAACGATTCAATTAAGAAAAATAAAAATTGAGGAAATTAAATATTAACGAATTCAAGTTATTTATATCTCTAGTTGTAAGTAGTAACATATACAACTGAACCAAAGGCTAAAGAGTCAATAAATAACTGTTGAAATTCTTAGAAAAACAAAAGTTTTGGTGTATACCAGTTTTTTTTTTATGGCTGTTGGATAAGATAACAGTTTCAAAATGAATAGTTGTAGATACCAATTACTGAATGATATCTTGTTTTTGAGTTATCAAAAGCACTAAATTGTAGACTTGGAGGAAAACTGAATAAGTGGTGAAGACATGTCTGGTGAGTTCCACTGACAAGCTAGCTAAAATAATAATTAAGTGACCAAAAAAATGTTTAGCTAATAAAACAGACGACTTGTTCATTGCAGTTCTTGTAGAAATGTCCCAACTTCATATAAGAAAGTCTATCATCGTTATGACTTAGAAAATTGTTCATAACATTCCACAATCCAAAACAAAAAGTTAAATAAACTATATGAAAGTTATGGATAATAAATATTAATTTTTTAACTGTAATACAAAAATAGAAATACTTAGACAATATGTTTATTAAACAAATCATACTTTATTTATCATTTATGCCATGTTTTTTTTTTGAAATATCTTCTATATAAAAATTTGTAAATATAAAGCTGTCTTGAAATAGGTATAGAGGTAGAACTATTTCCAAATCAATACCTGAGATTCTATACTTTGCAGGATAAATGAGCTTTGTTCTCGTTTTCCACACTACTAAGGATTCTCCCTATATAGTGGAATCACTAAAGTGAAAAATTATTGATTTTGTTTTAAATAAGACAATATCTGCTTCTTGTCTCCAATTTGTAGAAAATGGGTGTTTCTTAATAACATGCTCATATTTAAGGGGGGCGATTCTTGGACTCAATTTAAGAAAAAACTATGAATGTATATCCTAAACCTATTGAGATACAGAAAAAATCAATTTTTTATTGTCATTTTCATACCACTTTAAATATTTTTATGAAATTTGGTGTACGGTGTTTACCTATAGATTAGGACATTTTTTGACCTAAAAAACAGTGGCATGGCATACGTACCGGACCCAGACTAGATATTTTTGAAAGGAACAGTGGTACGCCACTGCTTTCTCTTAAAATAAAAATTATTTCTGGATTCCCCGTTCAATTTAGAACAAATTTGATTTCTTGACTTTTTTCGTACGACCAACTGTTTTAGCACAAAAAAATTAAATTCGTTCATTTGTACGCTGTTATAAAATTAGGCAGTAATAAGAATTACAAACGATCTATAGTCTATTTTTATGTATGAGAGAGTAATAAAACAGCATTTCTAATGCAAAACTTAGTACGGTCATTTTAAATATTTTTACAGAATAATCTAAATATTTCCTAAAATTGTAATAAATGTACCTGAGCTATTACAAGTTTTGGGTCTTTTATTGGTCCTTTATAAACATAAGCTGTACAGAACAATAGAAAAAGATTTGGACAGGCCAAAAGCCCTGTGTATTAACGATTACATAGCCGTACCTTAAGATTATTTTCAATAAGTACCTATTTGCCAATTTTGTTTTATTTTAATTCCAAGAATTTCTTACAGTAATCGAATTATAAGTAGATAAATACCTTTCCAACAAATTTCACCGAAAATGTGATTATAGGTTTTCCATTTAGTAAGGAGCAAGTTGTGTATTCTTGACAGTTTACTAAATGTCGTTTGGAAAATTTGGAAGGGCCGCGTAAACGACAAAAAATCGGTCCTTTAACAGTTAATGAAAAAACATTAGTAATTAATTGTTTCAAATCATTTACAGACAAACATTTATGTAAAAGTGTTGATGACACAGTGGAATTAGTTAGTAGTACGCTTGGTGTTGGGAAATCTACGATTTACAGAGTTGTTAAAGAAGAGAAATGTGGCGAGTTTCAAACAGCACGTAAAGCTCCAGGAAAACCAAAATTTCAATTAGAAAATCTTTTGAAAGAAAGACTTTGAAGGAATGTGCATGCGTTCTTCTTTAGAAAAGAATTTCCGACAGTAGACAAAGTTCTTGCCACGGTTCGAGATGATAAGGATTACCCTGAAATGAGTCGAAGCACACTATGGAAACTTTTAAAAGAAATAGGTTTTCTATGGAAAAAGCATTCCAGAAAGTCTATTTTAATAAAAAGAAGCGATATTGTAGTATGGAGAAGAAATTACCTAAGGACTATAAAAGAAATGAGAAACCAAAGAAGAAATATATTTTATTTAGATGAAACATGGATCAACGAGGGACATAAACCAAATAAATTTTGGCAAGATGAAACTGTTACAAGTCGAAGACAGGCTTTTTTAAATAATTTATCTACTGATTTAAATCCACCGTCAGGAAAGGGGCGCAGACTAATAATAGTACACATCGGTAGTTCAAACGGTTTTGTTAAAGGTGGTTTATTGACTTTTGAATCTACTCGTACCGGTGACTACCATGAGGACATGAATGCCGATGTCTTTAAAGAGTGGTTCGAACAAATTATAGATCTTCTTCCTCAGAACTGTATAATAGTAATGGATAATGCAAGTTATCACTCGAGACTTATAGAAAAAATGCCCACAACCAAGTGGTTAAAAAAATATTTACAGAATTGGCTAAATTCAAAGAATATTAAGTTCCATCCCGGTTCTGTGAGAAAAGAACTGTATCATTTGTGTTCCCTTCATAAAGAGAAATTCAAAAAATATGAAATTGCAAAAAATCGTGGGATGACGGTGGTTAGATCACCACCATATCATTGCGAAGTAAACCCGATTGAACTGATATGAGCACAGATAAAGGGAGAAGTTTCAAGAAAAAATAATTCTTTTAAAATGAGTGGTGTTAAACAGTTGTTTTTGGAGGCTGTAAATAATGTGAAGCCTGAAAACTGGGAAAAGGCAGTAAATCGTACGATTAAAGAAGAAGAGAACATATGGAAGTTGGACAATATTACTGATGAAATGATCGAGCCACTCATTGTAAATATTGGTTGCGACAGTTCATCTTCTGATTTCGATTTGTAGATAAGAAGTAGTTTTTATATTAAAATTATTATTTATGAACATAACGTTGTTTAAAAGTCAAAGTTTAAACCCTTATACCTACATAACCCGTTTGACACAATGTTCTTAACATACCTTGTGGAAAAATAAAACATTTTAGAAAAAATTACACTTTTTTACCTTCAGCTGTTTAGAAGTTATAAGCAGGTTAATTAGGTGAAAATATAAGTGTATACTCGAGGAATAACTTCAAAAAATATTTTAACTGTCTACTAAAAGAAGTGGTACGCTTATAGATTACGAACGCTTTATTATTTTAATACTCTCTCATACATAAAAATAGATAATAGTAGTAATAAGTAATAAAAATAAGTAGATGTTCTCATCTTTTTACTTTCCTATCTGTATACAGATAAGGAAAGTATGGGAATCATGATTTTTAGCATTATAATCATATGTACTTTCAGGTTTGGTTCAAAAATAGAAGAGCAAAATGTCGCCAACAGCAAAAACAACACAACCAGCAGCAGAACACCGATAAAAGTACGAGATTAAAATCAAAAACAGCCACCAACCTCATAACCAAGTCGTCTCCGACGCCAGTATCTGTTTCTAGCAATAATAACACTAGTACGAGGTAGGAAAATCTATAGTTTATGATAATACAAGACAGGATCGGGTTAGTAGATACTGCAAAAGCATCCAAAAGCATAAATAACTATCTACTATAAAGAAAAGAGTAATGGGAAAGAATAATATTGAAAGGATGCGCTCTGTTGTCAAAAATTACTTAAATTATCAAAATTTATTCGATTTACTTCATTGAAAGTTATATTTTTTATTATAACAATTTATTTCATATTTGAGAAGTTTTTGTGCATAATATTTCATAATAAAAAAGATGTTGATCACAGAATGATTATTTTTCAGCTCTTCTGGAAGTCCGTCTTCAGCACCACCAGCGCCACACCTTAGAGATAGTCCGAACTATGTTAAACCTCAACTTTTACCCACCTGCAGCAGCACCAGCTCTCCTACGGTATGGTGCCATTTTCAATCCATCATTTAATGTTTTAATTTTTTGATGTTTTATAATTAAAAATGAAAGGTAGATATCTCATTTTAGTTTTTTCTCAGGTCCTAATCAAAATTTATATAAAATCAAATAGTAAATTTGGGTACTTATATTTTTGGGTTAATCGCAAAAAGTTTATTTTAATTTAAAGAAAGAATATTAAGTTCAATTAGATAACCATTAGGTATTTATTATACATTTTTTAAAGGTGGAAGTTTTCGATCTTACATGTCCTTCATCAGGCAGTTTTAACATTAAAAATGAATTCTTATAATTAGGTAGATATTATAGGCATATTTATGTAGATGTTTTAAGTATTATGATAAGGTGAGGTGGGGGCAATTTGACGAATTAAATTTTAACAAAAATCAAAATGCAGCAATCTGTAATACACTGCTACCTTATACCTACTCGTGACCTTGTTATAGCTTAAAAATATAGATGGCGCACAAATATGAAATCAATAACGACCATATTAACACCATCTTAAGGCCTTATATAGAACTAAAACACCAATAATTCATTTTTTCTTTATGTTCTTGTTTAAGTCTTTATTTTCTGTATTTTTTTATTATTATTATTATTATTAAAAGAGGTTTGTTTTAGATTGCAAGTTCAACATACACCAACCCAGCTAATTCTAGTATATGGTCACCGGCGTCTATAGATTCGTTTCCATTGGACCAGCATAGATGGTGTACTTCTTCGCAAACTTCTGTTTTGGGTACAACAAATTCATCAACGAATTGTTATAACAATTACGCCTATTATTCTAATATGGATTATCTTAGTTCTACGTCTATGAACCATTCACAATTCGCGGTAAGTATATTTAAAATAAATAGTACTCTAAATTCGAAAGAAAACACTAAAAACTAACACGTCAAATAATAAAAAAAGTAAAAATAGATTGGTAGTTATTAAAGATACTAATATTACAAATAACTTTAAAAAGTTAATAAAATAAATATAAATAAGTTATTCGATTCTTAAGACTAAATTGCTTTTTGTTTACAAAACAAAAAAAAAGAACGAAACAAAACAAAAAAGAACGAAACAAGAAAAAAATAACAAAAACAAAAGAAAACAAATTAGAATGAAATAAAAAACCAAAAACAAAAGGAAAAACAAAAAAACTAAACAAAAAAAGAACGGAACAAAAAAAACGAAACAAAAATAAAAACCAAAGAAAAACCAAACAAAAGAAAACGAAAGAAAAACCAAACAAAAGAAAAACGAAACAAAAGAAAAACCAAACAAAAGAAAACAAAAAAAAAAAGAACGAAACAGAAACAGAACGATATAAAAGAACGAAACAAAAAAAACAATACAAAAAAAAAGAAAATGAAATAGATAAAACCAAAAAGAAACAAAGACAAAATAAAAAAACAAAAAAGAACAAAACAAAAAAAATGTTTGTTTTTGTTTTTAATTATTTTTATTTGTTTTTTAATTTTTGTTTTTTTTTTATTTTTATTTGACAATAACGATTTTTTCCGAATTTGGAATATACAGGGTGACGCATCCTATACGCGTCGATCTCTGTAGGGAAAACGACTTAAAATTCTTAATAGGGATATACAGGGCCATTACCAGTATACATTAAAAATAATTTGGATTATACAGGGTTTTTGAAACATTTAAAGGATTCTTAATTTGTAAGCTTGAACAACATAACCTAGTATATCGCGATATAAGTAGCCAAGATATTAAACTATGGAATAAAATGCAAATTTTTCCATTACATCATACAGGGTGTTCATTTAGTCTAATTGAATTTCACTTACATATGGAGTTGAATATCATTCTTATTTTAAATGGCACACCCTGTATTTAATAACTTAAATTAATAGACATTTAAATTATATTTCCTTTGATATAAATTCCTATTTTTGGGTCACCCTGTATAATCCAATTATTTTTAATTTGTAATGTTAAAGTTAAAACGTCGAAAAACGGTAGACATTTTCAAAACGTCACAAAAAAGTGACAGTTGACCGGAGACGAAAAATTCCTTCTGATCAGCCGCCTAGGATGTCTTGAACGTTTGCTGCCTATGCATACACACTTCCATAGTGCACCCAAATCTCGGAAAAGGGATTCATAGGATGTTTGGGCGATTTCCTTACGATTTTTCGAGGTTTTTTTAAGTCGTTTTCTCTATGAGATCGACGCGTATAGGATGCACCACCCTGTATAAACCTATCAAAAATGTGGTGACGATTTTGTAAATAATTCTAAAACATTTAAAAATAAACACTGTACCTACAAACTTAATATTTAAATTTAATTTTCTTAATTTTTAGGAAAATAGTTTGGAGACAAGTTGGAGTAAATCAAGAGACGAATCTTCATGGTTATATAACAGTACTTGGGATAGAAAATGAAATACTCTAAAAGTTTGGAAGCTCGGCGATTATTATTAAAACTTCAGATCTCAATTGCGGCGATACTCATTTTTTAATTTATTTTTATTTACTTATACATATAAGAAAAAATTCATGTGCAATGCAAAAAAATTCATATCATAAAACAAATAATTTACTTGTAAATATGTCTAAAGATTATGTATCATATAGTTGTATAGTTTTTGACCAATACAATAATTTTATCGAATTTAAAGGTATGCTCCAAGGCTCTATGTAATAATACTAGTCAAATTCTATGTGCCAATAAGAGAAAATCAACGAAAACTTGTTTAAATTAATTTAATTTGTAGAATAAATATTATTATGCTACATTGTCAAACCATAATTTTTTTTTTTTTCAAAAAATATTCTCTCTAGTTATTTGTCTATTTACGTAATGTATATTATTTCACGAAATAAATTGTAATATTATTTTGTTTAATTTTTCGTTTTGGTATTAAAAAAAAGGCTCTAGAGTTCCCATGGACAAAATCGTTACATAAAATAAACGATTTGATTTTGAACGAAAGATAAGTTGAATTTTTAGGTTTGTAAAACAAGTCGTGGTTTTTAAGAAATATTCCAAGTCGTCTTTGGAATAGGGTATGGAACAAATTATGGAAAAAACTGATATGTCCAATACATGACTCTCCTGTCTAAATTATTACAGGCTTTTAACGATTATTTTTTACAACCTATTGTATCGCCCTTGTAAATGTTTATAGAATGAACTAAATACATTAATTTTCTACACATATCTTATCAGAAACTTTTTATATATACAGTGTGACCAATTTTTATTATTAAATTTTGGGAAAAAGTTATTCTTTATACAAAGTTATGCATGATTTTTTTTAGTCATATACGAGGTTTGTCAAATATTAAGGTACTTTACTTTTCAGCAAAATTAATATTATTTGAAGTACCTGGCATACTATTATAAAAATTTGATAAAGGTATGATGGTTGCATTTTAGGTTTCAGACCATACAGAACTTTTTAAAGAGTCACTTAATAATAAAGAACTATAATGGTGTTTTTGGGTCGCTGTTTACGAATTTATGGTTAATGTTGCGAAATACAAAATGGCGGTTTCAATATGGCGGCTTCAATTGAAAAAAAACTTGCTTAATTTACATGAAATATAGTATATAGGGGTATTTTATATCGTTGATTACGAATTCAAGGTGAGTGATTTAAAATTACTGAAAAACAAAATGGCTGACGCAAAATGGCGAACAAGCTCCGAAAAATTTCTTCAATTTTCATGAAACAGTCTGTGGCGAGATCCTCCATTATGTATCCTAACAAAGTAACTAAAAATTCGTAATCAGCGACCCACGAAATTCCTTTATACTTTTTACAGCAAAAATAAATAAGTTTTTTTAGAAGATATCCGCCATATTGGAACCGTCTTTTTGTATCTTAACAAAATAACTGCAAATTAGTAATCAGCAACCTATGAAACCTCTATATACTGACTTACTTTAAAATTAAGCGAGTTTTTCAGTAGCTGTCCGCCATATTGCATGGATTATTTGATATTTTGATGAAATTATTATAAATTCATAACTAGCTACCTCAAAAACTCTCGTGTACCAAATTTGAAAAAGTCGAACTCTCAGTGGCGTCGAAAAGTATTTTTTGTGAAGAAAAATGTATTGAAATAAAATTACTACTACATTTTTAGGAAACAAAATAAAATGTTTAGGGAGAGGGTAAAGGGGTAAACTGAAATTTAAATCCTTTAAAAAATCAATTATTTTATAAAATAACAGGATATTGAAATAAAAATAGTGCCAAATTATTATTAAATATAAAACACAACATAAAAAAAAAATAACAAAATCACTTAGGAAGAAGACGAGGGGGTCAAATTAAATAAAATTGTTAAAAACTATAAAATACAACCTAAAATAATGACTTAGGAAGGGGACGAGGGTGTCATATTAAACAGAATTGCATTAAAAATTAATTTACCTTAAAGACAATTGGGTATTGAAATATAATTGGTGCCAAAATATGTTAAAAATTATCAAATACATTTTTAAAAAAATAACAAAATTCTATAGGAAGAGGACGAGAGGGTCAAATTAAATAAAATTGCAATAAAATTAATGCCAAATTGTTAAAAACTACTCACTTAGGAAGGGGATGAGGGGGCCATATTAAACAAAATGCCATTAAAAATTAATTTGCCTTTAAAAGACAATTGGGTATTGAAATAAAATTAGTGCCAAATTGTTAAAAACTATAAAATACAACCTAAGAAAATTAACAAAATTCCTTAGGAAAGGGACGAGGGGGTCAAATTAAATAAAATTCCATTAAAAATTAATTTGCCTTTAAAGACAATTGGGTATTGATATAAAATTAGTGCCAATTTGTTAAAATCTATAAAATACAACCTAAAAAAACTTACAGAATCACTTAGAAAGGGGATGAAGGGGTTTTATTAAACAAAATTCTATTAAAAATTAATTTGCCTTTAAAGACAATTGGGTATTGAAATAAAATTAGTGCCAAATTGTTAAAAACTATAAAATACAACCTAAGAAAATTAAAAAAATTCCTTAGGAAAGGGACGAGGGGGTCAAATTAAATAAAATTCCATTAAAAATTAATTTGCCTTTAAAGACAATTGGGTATTGATATAAAATTAGTGCCAAATTGTTCAAATCTATAAAATACAACCTAAAAAAACTTACAGAATCACTTAGAAAGGGGATGAAGGGGTCTTATTAAACAAAATTCTATTAAAAATTAATTTGCCTTTAAAGACAATTGGGTATTGAAATAAAATTAGTGCCAAATTGTTAAAAACTATAAAATACAACCTAAGAAAATTAAAAAAAATCCTTAGGAAAGGGACGAGGGGGTCAAATTAAATAAAATTCCATTAAAAATTAATTTGCCTTTAAAGACAATTGGGTATTGATATAAAATTAGTGCCAAAATATGTTAAAATCTATCAAATACATTAAAAATAAAAATTAATAAAATCACATAGGGAGGGGATGAGGGGGTCAAATTAAATAAAACTGCAATAAAAATGCATCTAAAAATTAATTTGCCTATGAAGACAATTGGGTATTGAAATAAAATTAGTGCCAAATTGTTAAAAACTATAAAATGCAACCTAAAAAAAATAACAATTGATTTTTAATGCAATTTTGTTTAATATGACCCCCTCCTCCCCTTCCTAAATGATTTTGTTCAATACCCAATTGTATTCATAGACAAATTAATTTTTAAATCTATTTTTATTGGAATTTTATTTAATTTGACTCCCAAGTTCCCTTCCCAAGTGTTTAATTTGACCCCCTAGTTCCCTTTTCAAGATATTTTATTATTTTTTTATGTTGTGTTTTATATTTATTTCAATATCCTGTATCTTCATAAAAAATTGATTTTTTAAAGGTCTTTTACTTTCGTTTACACCTTCATCCTCTCTCTAAACACTTTTTTATGTTTCCTAAAAATTTTAGTAGTAATTTTATTTCAATACCCTATTTTCTTCACAGAAAAATACATTTCGACGCCACTGGGGGTTCAAGTGTTTCCAGTAAATTGGAAAGTGACTGCTAACTTTACACCAGTATGCATTTTTACCATTAAGCTTAATATTTCTTTTTATAATAAAATTTCTTCCTTGCAGTCATCAAATTATAAATTTAATTTTTTATACAGTCCCACTTTTGTATAAAAATATGACATAATACTTTCCCCCTTTGTTTTGTTTTTTATTTTTCATCTTTTCCCATTTTTCAGAAATCCTTTTTGTTCTAATATATGTCTTTTCGAACAATTTTTTTTTAAATAATTCCAAGTTAAAATTATATCAAACCTGTGTGTAGCTGGTCCCTTTAAACAAGCCCTAACAGTTTCAATTAGGTAATTATCTAATTAAGGAACCAGTTTTTAATCAAAGTTTAAATTGAGTGCAGTAAATGGGCTTTATTGAAAGATTTTGAATGTAGTTCCCATCAGAACTTAATTTAAACTATCTGAAGTTGGGGCACTTATTTTTTTTTTTAATTTATTGACCTACCAAGTAAAAAATAATCAGGAATGACTACTGATATAGCAATAATAAAACATCAAAAAGTAGGCAAAACTGTTGCCATCTACTTTGATATCCAAGCAGCTCTAAAGACACTTCTCTCACAAGAAATCAAATCATGCCTGATAAAAGACTATCTAGGAGACCTGATAGTGCTAAGCAGGAAAAACAAAGTGATCTTAGCCTGTGTAATGGATGTTAAGGGATAATAGGATAATACAGCCATTTGGTAACAACAGTTAATTAATTACAATATTTTACAACTTAATTTTAAACAGTTGTATACATTTTGATATTTTTTAACAATACCAAAAGGCAGAAGCTTAAAAAATGTATCAAAAAGTGTAACAGAAACTATAAAAGTTTTTGGGACATCTAAACTCTCTAAAAATGTATAAAAAAATATGGTGTAAATCCTTCTGTTGTCTACACATACACCTATCAATTTTTTCTATACCTATTTCCTTAAAATGTTTCGCCATTGACATAATATGAGTTTAGTTCACAATTTTTTTAAATATTATGTTCGAAGTAATAAGTGAAGATGATAGTGAAATTGCTGCCTATCGAATGAATTGAAAATCTGACTTATAGATAATAAAACTTATAATAATATATTTTTTTCTATTCTAGAATCTCCTGTCATAATTCTGTTAACTATACAATTTTTTGCATTGGAATCTTCTTTAATTACCATCAGCTGGTTATATAAGAGTACAGCAAGCAAAATTTAATTAATTCTTTGTTGTTGTTATAAAAAGGACAATTTTTCAATTATAATCTTAATAAATGTGTTCTTAAAAAATGTCAAACTGACATAGAGCATTCAGTTTTGTCAGAAATCCTTCGATTCATGACTACCAATATAAATTAAACTTAGATTACCTACCTGAACTGTTATATTAACATGATTGATGATATTAAACTCAGTTCTACATTTGAAACAAGTAAAGGTCAAGGAAAGTTTAAACTGTGATTGAAATACTGACCCTTAGTCGTCTATATCTACTAGTTTCTAAACTGTTTATATATTTTTCGACTTTTTTTATACAAAATACCCTATTATATGTGATAAATCTGGCAAAACATGATGTGTATGAAAGGTAGAAAACACAGTTAATGCATTGTTAACTTCCTGATCATTTGAAATAGGAATTAGGCGTTCTAAAACTAACATGAACATTTCATGCCGTCTGATTTTGGGAAATAAACATATCTATCATTCTTTGAATATAAATATCTGAATAGTTAATCCTACCTTGTAAGTTACCAAGCTGTTTCATGTCCATTCTTTCCATTTGAACAGTTTCAACTTTGTTTATTAGCAATTCACACAGTTTACACAAGTTTAATAGTTTTGAAATCGCACACAAAAGGTCCAATTTTTAACTTTTGTTCGTTTATTCACCGCGATTTTTATTAATAGTTTGAAAATTTCACCAAACCGACGCGCCATTTCGTTTTGAAGTATTTCGTCGTAGAATACCTACGAAAATGTGTGATCCCTACTTCTGAAATGTAATATACTTGGTCGAGGGTAAATATTAAAGGCACACAGATTAACTATCCACTCAGGATTATTTAAATAAAGCTAAATTTAACTTTTAAATTATTAGAATCACATTTCAAAAGTGGGCTTCACACAGAACGACGAATAATAATGTCAGCTGTCATACGTCATTGTATAATACCAACTTAAAATTCTAACAATTGTTTCGTGACATTGACAATAACTCTTCGAACAACGTTGCCAAGCTGTTTATTTATCGTCAGATCTAGTGATTTTACAAAAAAAAATTACCTGTTGATTTTTTTGTTATCAGAGCCGTATTCTGGTGATTTTTGAGAATGAACTCGAGATTTATCATCAGAATCTGGTATTTTTGGTAAATTATTTTATTTTTATACTATCAATTAACTTAAAAATTAATATAAATGGAGATTATACATATAAAGTATACCCCAGATTGCACATTTTTCCAAATATCTCGAATACGGTCCATTTTAGAGAAATTATGTGTAGGACAATATTTATAGAGAATGATATTACCAGCAACTTTTATTTGAAGAATTTTCTTCTACAAACGTAAATAACTGATATATTCCATAAAGTAGAAAAACAACCTCCTATAAAGTACCCCCCAGATGTTCCGACTATGCCCAAAATTTAATATGTCCACAGCAGGATGAATTAAAGCCTAAATTTAAAATTTGGTGTTTGTTTCTTTACCTGTTTTTGAGTTATTATTAAATTTAGAAATTTACACATTTTTTCAAATATCTCGAATACGGTCCATTTTAGAGAAATTATTAATAGGACAAAAATTATAGAGAATGACATTATAAGCAACTTTTATTGGAAGAATTTTCTTTTCCAATCGTAAATAACAGATATATTCCATAAAATAGAAAAACGGCCACCTATAAAGTATCCCCCAGATGTTCCGACTATGCCCAAAATTTAATATATTCACAGCAGGATGGATTAAAGCCTAAATTTAAAATTTGGTATTATTCTTTTTATCCGTTTTTAAGTTATTTTCAAAATTCTAAATTTGCACATTTTTTCAAATATCTCAAATACGGTCCATTTTAGAGAAATTATGAATAGGACAAAAATTATAGAGAATAACATTGTAAGCAACTTTTATTTGAAGAATTTTCTTCTCCAAGCGTAAATAACAGATATATTCCGTAAAATAGAAGAACGAACCCCCAGATGTTCCGACTATGCCCAAAATCTAATCAACTCACCGCAGGATGGATTAAAGCTTAAGTTATAATTTCTATATTTGTATACAGACAGGAAAGTCCGTTTACCTTTATTTCCAAGGAAAAGACTTAATTTTCGCACTATAAATCAAATTATAGCAGAAGAAGCGTGAATATTTTCATAAGTTACGATGAGGGGGCACAACCTGAAAAAAATTACATTAAGAATTTCCTACAAGCTCGTAAACCAGGCACAGTTTAAATCCTTTTTTTTTGTAAAATAATATATTTCAGTTCTTAGCTATAATTATTTACAACTAACTATATTCAACTAAAAAATATTTCAAGAATTGTACAATAGATACTCGACGAGTTCTCTTTTTGATTTTTTATCTAAATTTTTAACATACTCCACGGATTCTTCGGGCGTTCTATCGTCATTTATAAAAAGTTCACTTAATTTAAGTAAATCTGGCTCGAATTTCTTGCAGGTAAGTTCCTTGAGAGCTAGATCATAGTAAATGATAATCTGAAAACATTAATAGAAAATAATAAACTTTATTAATTTCAACAGTGACGCAAGTCAAATTATCTTTTTTTTTTAGTTGTGTCACTATTCTGGTATACCAACTATAGGGAAAACTATTTGTAACTAAGAAATTAATTAATTACCATCATATTTTTTGCAATTATTTATATGTTCGGAGAAAGAATGAATAAGAATTATAGGGATGTAAGTAGAAAAAGTGTGATATTGCCAAATTACGTTAATACCAAAATATAAAACTTACTGTATTTTTGAAAGTAACATAAATCAGGCACTGAGTATCAGGTTCGTTGGGTTTTAAATTATAATAACCACTATGGAAAGCTTGTACAGCCTCGTCCAAATGAAATCTAACACAGTTCTTTTCCTGATCCATAATGTAGGTTTCTCCATCCCAGGAACAAGCAACAATATCATCTGAACCATTTCCGGTTACATCCATTTTGGTGAGAGCAAAAATTTGATGGTCCACTGCAATTGACCTAAAAAAGCAAGACGTCTAGAATCTTCGAGAACAAGTCTGGAGCGCCACATTTTTATTTAAATATTCCTAGTGCAGTTGAGATAAATATTGCCAACATAAATTATTTTATTAGTAAATGAATATAAATTAGTAAAATAAATTAGTGCCTCAGTAAAAATAAATTAAATAACACACTGTTAAAATAATTAAAACAGTATTTAACCACATATTTGTTATTATAATGAACATTTTAAAATACTTACCACAAAATAATCTCGTCCTGGACTAACAGAATTGTACCATCGAGTGTGGCTAGCGCATACGGTTTCCCTTTTGTAGTTGAACTGGAACTTCTCTGCGAGGTGGTAGAGATTTTGTCGAAACTCACGCCACTATCGTTCATGGAACAACGAATATCTCCAAGAATTTCAGTGGAAATGTTCTGATTTCTCATTCTGGCCATTCCTAAAAACTGATAGTCCACAGTACCAGAGATATTTTCTCCAGTGGAACTACAAAAAATTGAGAGTTAACAAAATATGAAAAATTATTCGTAGAAAATGATAAATGATACTCGAAAGTATTTTCTGTTAGTCTCTTTGGAAGAATAGTTGTTAATGTAGATAATTAGAGAAATGCTTACAAAATTAAAGTATTATTAGATACTGGATCTGAAAATTTAATATTAATTAAAAACTTAACTAATACAATATTCAACAAGCGATGCTGAATCATAAAACATTGGTAAAAAAACCTTTTAAACATCAAAAGATGTTTCGTTTTCATGTACAAACGTTACTCAACGATTAGATTGGAAAAACGTAAGTAAAAAAGCAGAAATTTTTAAGTTTTCGTCAAACAAACGTAACATATCAAAGATTCCTTTTGGTGAAATTCAGTGAAAGTCACATATATTTCAAAATAAATATAAAAATAGAATAAAAAACTTCCTAATTCTATTCTAATCTAGAATTTAACTCTCTTTTCTTACCTGCTAGAACTGCTTCGAAGCGAACTTTCAATACATTCCTCCCCAGTTAAATAATCAGTCTGACATTTTATTCGCATAAAAGTACCCCCTGGTTGAGCAATCAATATTGAAGGTTTACCATCGGCGGCATGATGAATTGTTATTGAACCTATTTGATTTGCACATTCCCATTTATTTATAGCAACAAACTTTCCTAAAAAAAAGTCAAGTAATTGAAGATATTGAATAATGTTATATTCCAAAAAGAATATACGATTGCAGATTAGCACAAGTGGTGACAGTAGTAGAATTTAGATAAAAGTTCCATTCTAGAATTCGATAAAACTCGTTAATAGCCGTCCTGTATGTTATTAGCATAAAATTGATACTTGTTTCAACTTAAAACAAATTATTTTCACTAGTCATGCAAACAAAATCTTTCAAAACAAAAAAACTAATTTAAGACGTTTAAGAATGACAGCAATATAGAAAAAGTATCTGTGGTTCCATAATTGACAAGCATGACTATCTAGTGAAATCAGTATCCATGGCGCAGTGCATAAAAGAATATATAAGAAAAGCATTGGAATTTAAAAAACATTGATATTTAAAGCTCTCTCATCTGGAAGAAATTATCAATTAAAATCGAAACCGCAAGACAATTGGTACTTACATTCTAGAATTATCGTGTCAACGCACATACATATGCACAGACGACCAGACGTAGACAAACATGAAAAGTGTGGGTCATTTATTATTAATTTTTATATTTTTACAGATTTTTATACATTTATTTTTATATTTTTATATATTTTTTTATATATTTTTATATATCTTTATCTTTATATATTTTTATTTTCATTTTTATTTATTTTTACATACATATGTACAGACGACCAGACGTGGAGAAACATGTTAAAAAATGGTGGTAAGAAAATTTTATATGGTCCCGAATCCATCGAAAATACAAGGTCGAAAAAAATCATGATTCCTATACTTTCATTATCTGTATACACACAGGAAAGTAATAATAAAAGCAAGCCCTTCATTATATTTCTTGTACCTGTTAAAATATGAGTAATCCAAATTATTACTCACCTAAAAGCTTGTCTGATGGATCAAATTGAAGACCGGAATCAGTTATATCCACTGCAGATTTATCAGGATTACCTATCCATTTGTAAGAACGAACAACACGATCAGTAAGGCCTAGAACCATCTCTATGTTACCATCTCCATCTAAGTCTCCCAAGACAATGTTCTAAAAAAATAATAAAATGTGATGTTATTTGTTCAGTTTATCCTTTCCCATATCTCACACCACATGTCTCTTCACTCCTGATCTACAACTGCACCGTATCGATGTTGGTAGAGTATTATATTTTATCAATAAACGGCTAGAGATTAATTTAAGAAATAAATACCTTTGAATTAGCAGGAATTCGTTGCATGTGAACACAAACTAATTGCGTTTTATCTTTTTTACTAGTAACAGGAAGAACTATATCAATAGGTAAAGTTTCATTGCTGCCTGAAATAGAAGAAGATTGCGTTTGGCCGTCAACCTAAAAATATACGTGATTTTTAAAATTTTATATATTGGAATTTGTATTTGGAATTTTTTGATGTAATAATGTTAATAAAAAAAAAAAAATGAGTCAATAACTGTTGCTGACAGAATGTCAATGTGATTTAAGGAGAAAAATAAAGATTTATTCTTGTTAGTCCTAAAAAAAGACTAATTTTTCATTGATTTCTACTAAATAAAACCAGACAAATCTTAAAGAGCTCAAAGACGGCAATCAGCAAAAATGATTTAATAAAAAAATATAAAATCTCACCTCTTCTACCCCTTCATCAATATCTTTCTGGCTACTGTCGCTTTGATTATTTTCAGGATTAGCATACAAGTAACACCAACCATCAGCGGTAATAATAATCAGAACGTTTTTATTTTTATTCATAATATCACCCACTGCCAAACATGTTATAAAATTTAATTTTGAAATGGTTTGAATTTTTTCTTGACCCTAAAATGAAATAGAGTACTTAATATAATAATAAGAGCTCAATCCACGACTCTTACTAATGAGTTTTAATCACTAAACCAGAAACAGTGTTTACAAATTAGAGAACTCCATTAAACCCGGTCACATACAGCAAACTCAAAAAATTATTAATAAAAAAGAGGCTATGTAATATTGTAAAACGTAGATTAATCAATTTATTCATAAAAAAAATATATAACACAGCATCAACTGCCTTATTTTAATTCGTTATTAGAAAATTCTTAGTAAAAATGCCCAACACAAAACATGATCAGGGATCCTAAAAACATATCAATTCTGAAACAGTTCTTGTTTTAGGCCAGAACCAAAGTTATTGTTCGAGAATGGTTATGGAACCACTCCCAAGAAACACCAAAACACAAAGTTAAACAATTTTAAAGATTTCACTGATGCTTGAGTAGTGAAGTATCTAATGACTAGGGGAACCTTGGATGTTGACAAATTAAGTCGGCGAAGTAAAACTGCGATAACACTTTGCATCAAGTTTTAAAGAAACTCAAACAAACCTACACAATGTACCGGTTCAGAATTAGTTATGATGAATCCAAACAATGGAATATCTACTATGCATGCTCCAAAGGTTCTAGAACAGTTACGAACGTGAACCAAAGTAAAGCTGTTAAATTTTTTAAAATTGTATCTAGAAACAACAGTTTTTTTTACTAAAGTAGATGAAATTGAGAGAGATAAGGAAAAAGATCGGGAAAATGTATATGATTTGATTTCAATGCCTACTGTTAATAGTTTTGAATCTCATAAAGAGATACTTACTGACTTATCTATCGACGCTTAGCTCAAACCGTTATAATTAGAACCTTGAAATTCGGAACGTGCACTTAGTTCAGAACGTAAGCACCAGGGCTGGATGCTCCCGTGTTCAGTTTTCGTCTGCCACGCGCATGACGTCTCTCATATAGTGATTTTCATTGATACAACAAAATAAGACTGCCTAGATCCGCTACATCCCTATAGGCCGGATGATATGACGTCACTCACAGTTATTTTTATTTGCACGTCAAAATAAGAACCGCCCACGATGCGCAACATCCCTATTATAGATCGGATGATATGATGTCACTCACAGAGTGATTTTTATTTGCATTTTAAAATAAGAACTGCCCATGATGAGCAACATCTTATCTTTAGATAGGTATATCGTGAGCCAGCACCTACTTAGAAGATTTTTTTTGTTAAATTTAACCCCTAAGGGGGTGAAAACAAGGGTTAAACTTTATAGAGGAATTGATATATCATAAAAACCACAAATACTAGAGAAGTTGAAATTCGTATATTATTAGAGGTGGTGATAAAAGGGTTGATTTATTACATTAATCCCTTAAAATAGAAAAACTACCCTTTTTAAAATACCCCAGATGTTTCGACTATGCCCAAAATTTTATCAGTTAACCGCAGGATGAATTAAATCTTAAAATTTGGTCTTTTTCTCTTTATGTTTTTGAGTTATTTTCAAAATTCGAAATTTTCACTATTTCTCAAATATCTCGAGTACAGTCCATTTTAGAGAAATTATGTATAGAATAAAAATTATAGAGAATTATATTACAAACAACTTTTATTTGAACAATTTTTATAAGAAAATATTTTTTTTTACATTTTGTCAAATTTCTCGAATACGGACCATTTAAGGAAAATTATGTATAAGTCAAAAATTATAGAGAATAATATTACAAGCAACTTTTATTTAAAGAATTTTTTTCTCCAAGCGTAAATAACAGGTATATTTCATAAAGTACTAAAACGACCCCCCAGATGTTCCGACTATGCCCAACATTTAATCATTAAGTCACAGGTTGGATTAAAGCATACATTTAAAATTTGGTGTTTTTCTTTTTACCCGTTTTTGAGTTATCTTCAAAATTCGAAATTTGCACTTTTTCTCAAATATTTCGAATACAGACCATTTTAGGAAAATGATTTATAAGACAAAAATTATAGAGAATAATATTACAAGCAACTTTTATTTAAAGAATTTTTTTTCTCCAAGTGTAAATAACAGATATATTCCATAAAGTAGAATAACGACTCCCTATAAAGTAACCCCCAGATGTGCCACCTATGCCCAAAATCTTCTGTATCCATTCATGAGTATATACAGACACACAGACACCATTGAAAAAATAGTCAAAATTGATAAATCGCATTAAAATCTTTTTACATTTTTGTATTAATTCAAAATACCACATAAGATGACGGACTTAAGTGGTTTTTGCACAATCAGTTTATAAAGATGGCATTTTAATTTATATCATCAGCTTATTTCATACCTAATGTTACCTTCTTTTTATATTTTAAAATTATTTTCATTATTAGTTTTGAATATGTAGATTTTTGCTTCTATTTTCTTTTTTAAAAAATCACATAAATCAATAACAAAATATATACATTTTTTCTTTAATTTAGATTTTTTAGATCTTCCATTCTATTCATATACCTAATTTAGTTACTTAATACATTTTTTTTAAATGCAATTTAATTTTTATATAAAAAAAGCTTTTGTCTCTTCTGAAAATTGAGTTTTTTTGACTTATCTTGTTTTTGAAATGACCAATTCAAGTGGAATTGTTTGAAATTTTTAGATTTGAACAAAAAATGTTGGAATTATTATAATTAACTACAGTTGAACCATTATTTAATGTACTATGAATTTTCTATATATGCAGTGAAGTTTTTGTAAAATCTGGTACTTATTATCACTATAAACATACAAATAAGTACCATGATTTCAAGTTCCAGAACGTATGCGACATATTATTATTATTTATATAAAAACATACCTTAAAAATAGTTACATCTCCTGTTTGATTCCCCACAATCAACTCATTACACCCATCATTGTCTATATCCCCCAAAGTCAAAGCATTTCTAGCTACATTTCCTGTAAAATCAAATTCTATCCTCTTGACTAACGAAATGGCCCTCATTTTGTAATTAATAAGCAATTCCTATAATAGATCTTGAACTTAGATTAAGAGGAGCTCGAGATTCGGGAAGAAAAGAATTAATAAATTGCCACCTATTTGGTGGCCACACTATGCAACTCGCTTTGGCAGTGATAAGACCTAAAGATACAGGTCCAAAATTATTTGAGTCCATAGAATGACCCGTGTGGTCACCCTCTATCCAGCAGTGGCCCTCTGGGACGCGAACAATGTCACTTTTGTATTTTAAAGTGGCTATAACGTCACCTAAAGTAAAATATGCACAAATTTAGAAATTAAGAAATGTTAATGAACCCACAAATTGAAATGTATAAACAAATTTTGATAACAAAGCTAAAATCTTTATATAATTATCACTCAAATCATTAGCTTTGTTATCTAAATGAATTATTTTTAATTTTTTTCTCAGATTCACAGGACTTTAAGGAATAACAACTTATGCTGATCAAATTGCCTTCTTCTTTCTTGTAAACATGAATGAATATTTATTATTAAAGATATGTATGTAGTACCGAATTTGTATCGTTTTGTTTTCAAAGGTTAATCAAAATTATTATTAAACATGATAAAATTATGAAATCATTACCTTCTAATCCAATAATCCTTTTGATAATTTTCTGAGAAGGATCTTTAGGAGATATTAACGAAACGATGTCTCCTCTTTTGATTTCGTAACCCTTAGTTGCCCATCTATTCAAAAATACGTAGTCAGTTTGTGTTCTATCGGGATTTAGAGCTGGTTGCATGGAAATTCCATCCACTCTAGCTATATAACCGATTATATCTACGATTGTAATACCCACTGGAACTCCGAAAAATACACTTTTGAAGAAATTTGGAATTTTCATTGATGTTTACAAAGACGTACTTAACCTCAAAAGTCGATTTTCGACATTTATATTGACGTTTAGGTAATATTGAAACGTACGTCGGTTCTTACGAGTGCGTTCAATTACAGTCGAAAGAGCTGATGTATCCTGAATATAGGCAACCAATAAAGCACCTAACGTGCATTTTAAATTGTATATTCACGATATCTAAACTAAATTTTTGTTTAGGCACGATATTTTTTCGAAAAACGTATACCTTGGTATTTTTAATTACTTTTAAACGATAAATATTTAAATTATTTACATTTTGGAAGTAATTTTTCGCAATAAATCTTGTGAATTATCAATTTTTTAATTTTGAGATTAACGAGCTTGAAAAGAAAGTAGTAAACAGGTCCGTATTTAAAATATTGGACAAAATATAACTATTTTGTTTGTATCAGAGATCAGGGACATAAATTGATACGAAACGCGGCGACTGAAGTAACGATAGCGTCATCTATGCGTCTCAGATGTTAACTAAAAGTTTACGTCGTGGACTGTAAGTGTAGTATTATTTTTATTAAATAATTTACCACAATTTAAATTGTTTAAATGTATTTACCATAACAAGAAAGTGCATTTTTACAACGTTTAGTATCAGTTTAGATAAGTAATATTTTTCTTCGTATGTTCGTAAATAAGCAGCAAATACGTCAAACTGGCATTATGTAAATTGTCAATGGATTAATAATTTTCGTTGATTGTTTTGCTTATCTGATTGATATTAATGCACATTTTAATACATTTTTATTATATTTAGACCTTGTTTTCATCTTTTATTTATTGTGTGATGTTTTATTCAAACGGACAAAGGAACAAGACATTTTGAAGTTACTTTTTCAGTATAGAAATAAGCAAAAACGTCAACTGTCAACATCAAAAGAACCGATTCAAGCTGTCGCTACTGTCTATCAGTTACTGAACGCACCTCAAAATAAATTTATTTGATCACAGACATACGATTATGTCAAGGAGCACAAATTAAAAACAGGTAATTCACCCTTTTCTATACCAGTTTTAAGGCTCAAATTCCTTTATCAACGGACTCGCATCTTTGGTCGATATTTTATTCCCTTTTCACGTATCGCCAAAATGGCTGTTGATAAGGCGAAAGAAGATATTAATCACATTTTGTTTACAATCAACAGAAAGTTCGAAGTACAATTTACGAAATGGGAGGCAGATTCAAAAGTTTTCGAAGCTAAAATCAAAACGCAAATACCATCCGGCAACGAAGATTTCAATAAATTATGCGACGAATGGGTGGATATATTTTCTGAACTTACAGATACAATATGGGCTAAAAAAACGTCAAATACCGGACCTAAAATAAGGTTTAGAAAGCAATACCAATGTTGGACTGGTGAAGGGAAGATTGTCAAGAAAGAATTGTTGTTTGATAGAACGAGATGTAAAGGATGCCTGGATTTGAAAGTTTTGTCTGATAATCCTTTATGCAAGAGGAAAAATAAACATGTTAGACAAGGATTGAATCTTGCTATTAAAGTAAGTAACTATTTTTTATTGTGTCTCATTTTTGTGCAGACTAGGAATAGTTTAAAACCAATCAGTGATATGAAATGTTGTGTTTTTACTATAATAAACAAATTCATTACATTTTTAACCTTTTATTCTTTATAAATTCTTTTAGTAACATTAAATATAAATCAATGCTGGTAATTTTCTTCTTAATTCATCTTCAAGAACATTTTGTGGCTTATAAATTCTGGTTGGTAGCATATTTATTGAAATGCATCATTATTCAATCATATTATTAACACGTTAAGTGCCATAAGGTATAATGTGTGTATCGCATCTTTGCTGACATTTATATGTAGAAATATTATTGATTTGGTCCAGTTGACTGGATTTTTAGATTCTATTATGGCAATTAACGTGTTAAAATAAAAGAAATAGTGTCTCAATATAAGTGACTATATGAAAAAAGTATATCTATTTCTTGCTGATGAGTTTTAATAAGAAAAACACCAAATTTTAAACTTAAGCTTTATTCCAGCGTCCAATGAACTGATTAGATTTTGGACAGGGTCGGCACATCTGGGGGGGGGGTACTTTATAGGTGGTCATTTTTATATTTTATGTAATATATCTGTTATTTACGTTTGAAAAAAAAATTCTTCAAATAAAAGTTACTTCTAATATTATTATCTATAATTTTTGTTTTATACAAAATTTTCCTATAATGGTCCGTATTCGAGAAATTTGATAAAATGTAAAAAAATAATTTTTTATAAAAATTGTTCAAATAAAAGTTGTTTGTAATATAATTCTCTATAATTTTTATTCTATACATAATTTCTCTAAAATGGACCGTATTCGAGATATTTGAGAAAATGTGTAAATTTCGAATTTTGAAGAAAACTTAAAAACGGATTAAGAAAAAACATTAAATTTTAAACTCAAGTTTTATTTCGGCATGACGTGAAATGATTAGATTTTGGACAAAGTCGGAACATTTGGGGGGTACTTTATGGGAGGCCGTTTTTATATTTTATGGAATATATCTGTTATTTATGTTTGGAGAAGAAAATTGTTCAAATAAAAGTTACTTCTAATATTATTATCTATAATTTTTGTTCTATGCAAAATTTACCTAAAAAGGTCCGTATTCGAGAAATTTGATAAAATGTAAAAAAATATTTTTTTATAAAAATTGTTCAAATAAAAGTTGTTTGTAATATAATTCTCTATAATTTTTATTCTATACATAATTTCTCTAAAATGGACCGTATTCGAGATATTTGAGAAAATGTGTAAATTTCGAATTTTAAAAAACTCAAAAATGGATAAAGAAAAAACATTTAATTTTAAACTTAAGTTTTATTTCGGCCTGACGTGAAATGGTTAGATTTTGGACAAAGTCGGAACATCTGTGGTGTACTTTATGGGAGGCCGTTTTTATATTTTATGGAATATATGAGTTATTTATGTTTGGAGAAGAAAATTGTTCAAATAAAAGTTACTTCTAATATTATTATCTATAATTTTTGTTTTATACGAAATTTTCCTAAAATGGTCCGTATTCGAGAAATTTGACAAAATGTTAAAAAAAATAATTTTTTATAAAAATTGTTCAAATAAAAGTTGTTTGTAATATAATTCTCTATAATTTTTATCCTATACATAATTTCTCGAAAATGGACCGTATTCGAGATATTTGAGAAAATGTGTAAATTTCGAATTTTAAAAAACTCAAAAATGGATAAAGAAAAAAACATTTAATTTTAAACTTAAGTTTTATTTCGGCCTGACGTGAAATGATTAGATTTTGGAGAAAGTCGGAACATCTGGGGGGTACTTTATGGGAGGCCGTTTTTATATTTTATGGAATATATCTTTTATTTATGTTTGGAGAAGAAAATTATTCAAATAAAAGTTACTTCTAATATTATTATCTATAATTTTTGTTTTATACGAAAATTTCCTGAAATGGTCCGTATTCGAGAAATTTGACAAAATGTGCAAAATTGTTTGCGATATCGATCTCTATAATTTTTGTTTATACATGAAAATTGTAGGAAAAGTGCTAAATTTAAATTTTCCAGTATTTTTGTTTTCAATGAATATCTATAGAAAAATGTTTCGAGGTAGATGTATGTTGAAAATGTATATATTTAGCTTATCCTCTAAACATATATATAGGTGCTGCAAAAGGTTTTACAAAAAGCCTATAATAACTAGATAGGAAAGTCATTTGTTGGACACATCAGATTTTTTTTGATATAATTCAAAGCTTCTTATTATTTATTATCTTGTTGACATTTTATTATTGTTAAGAAAATTCTTTCAATTTTCAATACAAATAAGTATCAACAATATTTGCATACTTAGGTATCTATATAAAAATAGAACTATAAATATGTAGGTATATATAATTTTTAATGTTTAACCCTTAATATTATATTTTCATATTACCTTTTTAGTTATTGTGGATTATGTTGTGTTTAGTGGTTTATTCAAAATGAAAATACCTACCCCTCTTTTATCTGTTTGCAAATTTAAGATTCGTTTAGCATTAAACAATAATACCTAGCCAATATTTTTACATTACCTTTTTCTTTTATTACTTTTTTACACTTATAGTCTTTTATTAAAGATTTTAATAAGTGTCTAATTTTGTTTGTCAGATCTTGAATGTGTGATCATTCCATTTCAAATTTTTATCGACTCTAATACCTAAGTACTCTATTATGTTATTTTCTTTAATGGTAATATCATTTTGATACAATTAAAGCTAGATCTATTTGCATTGTTCATAGAAAGAGCTATGTAAAATGTTTCAAACCCTGCTACTTTATCTTTAACAATTTCCCAGGTTTTTTCTTTAAAAAGTAGCACTATGTCATCTGTATTAAAAATAGAATCTCTATTTATATATAAATTTAGTAATGAATTAATGTAGGTAATGAATAGAAGAGGACCAAGTAGAGTGCTTTGTGGTATTCAAATTTTAACATCTACTCTCTTTTAAATATCTCATGAAAACTTTCAATAAGTACCTCTAACTTCATATTGTTCAAGAACCTCAATGATATATCTATGAGGTACTGTGTCAAAAGCATTTGTAAGATCAAGAAAAATTGCAATTGGCTTCTCATTATTGTCAAGTACATTTTTAATGTTATTTATAAGTTTGTAGGGTATGTATCATTAGGATATTAATTTTATTTAATTTTAGCTGATCTGATCCCACTTTTCTGGAATTTTTCAAACGTCAATTATTAAATTACTTTTTATTGTTACAGTGAATGCATGATTATCAATTTTTATTTATTTAGTTTTACAATACTTAAAGCTTGAGTTTCATCAAGTTCTATTTCATTTAAAAACTCTAATTCAGCAATATTCGTTAATCCATTTGATTATGTTAAATTAAAATAAGTACCAAACTATTTAAAGAAAAAGAAAAGATATTCACAGAAAGCAATTTATTCTCAGCATATCTATGTGAAATTTGATGGTTGGAAATGTTGGGCCTTTATAAGTCAGTGGCTTGGTTAGTATTACATAATTTTTACAATATTTATTTTGTTTAAGACAATCTTTTTCCATATTATATTCATTGAAGCAGATTGGACCTCTAATGCTATTACCACAGTCATCTGTTTTATGATAATATTCCTGACATTTTGGGACGCTCAAATCTTCATAGACCATACACTTTCCCATCCCAAGCATATTTTCTTTAGCTCTAATATTTGATGAAAAACACTAGGGAAATATTTGCATATTATTGTTTTGCTTTTATTTCTGTGTTCACGAATGAAACTTACAGTAACTTTGTCTACTAAGCAAGTTATTCTGTTATTTTATTGAGATAATTTCCTTTACTATTGTACTATTCAGAAATAGATAAATTTAAGTCATTTTTTTATTAGAAATTTGTATCTACTGAAGGCATATCCTTTATTTTTCATTTAAATTTAATAGTAACTATTGTTTCTGCATTGTCATCAATTACTTTATACATAGATATATGCAGATTTAAATACGGTGGCGTCCATTTTCTAATAACAGAATGATTGAGTTATTATATCCAAGTAACCCCATCCACGACCCTTAGTACAGAGCTTTAATTAGTTAAATATTGTAAAAACAACATGAACATTGTCACCCTCGTTACAAATTTTGGCGCCCAACGTGTGGCACTATATACAATTTTATTGTTAACAAACGAATTATGCTTTCTTAATAAAAAATATATATTGTACTGCAGCATTTCTTACAGAATAATTTTCAAATTTTATTCCAGATGACTTTTCAACATTTACATCCAGTCGACACCGCTATTCCATTTGCATTTTTCGTGCATCACTGTTCGCCTCAACAAAACATTCCACAGTTACAAATTCAACCAAATACAAGACTTCCAGAATTAGTAGCAGCCATGGTACAAAACGGACCTGTAGTTTCCAGGAAAGCTGCAGAGAAAGCAGAGAAAATCATCGCTAAATTAAATGAGGCAACAGATAATACTACTAATAACTCGACTGATGATCAGACAGAGACAAACGAAATTATTGTTAATTACGAAGAGAATGCTCATAAAGAAGATATTAATGAACAAATTCAGCCTGTGTGTGTAGAAGTTTTAGGTAGTACTCCTGTAGATCCAGTGGAGCCTATAAAATTAGAAACATACCTAACTGATCCACAGTATGCTCAATTTGTTTTAAACGCGCCTCAGTTCGATTTTACCGATCAAGTTCTTATGTATCAACCGTTCGTATTGGACGTTCCTCAATTTATTGCTTTGGCACCTACTAATATGACGCAGCAATTTTTACATATTCAACCGAAAACGGAAAGTTCACATCAGGGCGGACAAATTTTATAAAACAAATATTTTTATGTTGGTCTTACTAAGAACCAAAAATGTTACTTTATTGAGTTTTATGGTTCAAATGGAAACGCTTATGTGCTGGAAATATGGGTGTTGCTGGACTGAAAGAAGAACGAATTATTTACAAGACTTATTCAAAGGTTTTTTTTAACCCTTCTGCTTAATGTGGATAAATGGCCTCTCACCATCGAGTATTGCGTTGTAATTTCTATATTTTAGAAGAAAAAACAGCATTACATTAATGCAGGGATATTAAACAAGTCTCATAACCATAACTCAAGTGGATACATAAAAAGTATCAGATCGTACTAGGTTCCAAATCTTCAGATTCACCCGACTAAAGCCTCCTGAGTTTATACAAGTCTCACCATATTCAACTATGGCCTTCATAAAAAAGGTGTGGGGCTTGTACAGTAAACTATCTAGTAAGGGCCAGTAAAATAATCGATTATTTTCGGCGAATCGATTATTTTCGGTAAATCGATTGTCTTCGACTAATCGATTATTTTCCATTAATTGATTATTTTCGACTAATATATTATTTTTGGTGAATCGATTGTTTTCGATTAATCGATTATTTTCCATCAATCGATAATTTTTGACTAATATATTATATTTTCAGTGACTCGATTATTTTTATTATATCGATTATTTTCCATTAACCGATTATTTTCGATTATTCGATATAATCGAACATTTTCTACTTATCGATTATTTTCGATTATATGACATCGTCTTGTCCTTCAGATCATATTAAGTTTAACTGTGTAGCTTCTTAAAGATTATGAAAAATACTGCAGTAAACATTATTATTAAAACGTATCTTTACTTCAACTCGTTTATTTTATAAACGATAACACTTTTATAAACGACAATAACTTATAAACGACAAAAACTTTATAAACAATAAAAACTTTGTAAATTATAAAAATTATGAGCTGTTTGTAAAAATAGTATCAGAAAATTTTGTTTGGCTGGACAAAGGTCTATTAAAAGACAAAACTTATAAATGACAAAAAGTTATAAACGACCAAAACTTATAAACGACCAAAACTTATAAACGACAAAAAGTTATAAACGACCAAAACTTATAAACGACAAAAACTTATAAATAACAAAACTTTATAAACAAAAATTATAAGCTATTTGCAAAAAAAAAGCATCAGAAAATTTTGTTTGACTGGACAAAGGTCTATTAAAAGACAAAACTTATAAACGAGAAAAACTTATAAACTACACAAACTTATAAAAGACGTCAAAAACTTTATAAACAATAAAAATTACAAGCTATTTGTAAAACATACCATCAAAAATTTTTATTTGACTGGACAAAGGTCTATTAAAAGATGAAAATTATAAACGACAAAAACTATATAAACGACAAAATCTTATGAACGACAAAAACATAATAATAATAATAATACTCTCCCTAATTCACCCCCCTTACGAGTGAATTTCAACCCCTGAAGTCGATTGAACGACTTGTGTAGGGGAAGGGACGGCTATTATTATTATTTGCCGTGGCGCTCCGGGGCGACTTAAAGATGATTGATGGTGCCATTTGACTTACAGGTGAGGAAAACCCGGAAAACCTCACCCACCATTATCGAGACGGTAATGTATAGCGAATTTTTTTAATAAACTTGCCTATAAATGAATATAAGCGCGATAGACCGCTACACCACCGTCCCGATATAAACGATATAAACTTATAAACAACAAAAATCATAAGCGATTTGCAAAACAGCATCAGAAATTTTGTCTTTACTGAACAAAGGTCTATTATAGAACCTTGTACATGATGTAAGTCCCTTTCAACCTGCTGTCTTTGAATTACATCCCATCATACACCTTTACGGTAAGCCAATGATGTCACAGCATGTCGTATAGAATAGGCAGAAAATATATTGCACTTCTGATAGAGTAAGAGTTTTTTTTTTACCCAACAACCATGGTTAAAAGTTTTCTGGAAAGTTCTAAGAAGCTTATTTTGTCATTAGATTTTAATGAACCCATGGCTTTGTAGTCTCATTCTTCTGATATATTTTAAAAATCTTCTAATTAAAATATTGTTGTTTATCTTACCAGAAAAAATGTCTTTTTTACCCATTACGGCGATACAAAACCTTGGAGGATATTCTTTTAAAAAAAAAATTACAAAACTTGGCCATTTTCGCACTGAAAAGCGTATCGAAGACAGGATATTAGGAAGCGGGAAAAAGAAGATTCTTCTTTTACTTTAAAAACAGTGGTCTTTAGCATTACAGAAGCGCTAACTATGCAGTACGTAATTATATTGAAGGACCAGGCGCTGTTATAAAATAATTATAGTGTAAAAATGTTAAAACAATATATTTTAATAAAATTTTTTTAATGTTTTTATTTTTTATTTGAGTGTGTATTGAGTTTAGGGCAAATAGGGGTGGACAAAATAATCGATTATTATATAATTATTATATAAATTAAATGGCAATCATTACATTTGTTTGTAGGGTGTGTTTTGATCAAAATAACTTCTTCTAAAAGCTTTCTCGTCTCTTGTTATTGTAGGAAAAAAACTTAGACGGTTCTGTATATCTTTACATCACGAAATGAAACATTTATAATCGTCTCATTATACTTTTTTGTATTCCGAAATATTTTCGTTCATTCATCTATTATGCTGACAATGAAACTGTGCTAATGAGGTTATTTATGCTTATATTTATTTAAAGAATGGGAGCAGACATTGCATATTAACCCGGAGTTTATATATTTTTGTAATAAAAGTCTAAAATCAGATAAAATCTCTTAATTATTCCACCTATTCTCGCGTTTTGCTTTTTAATGAATAAAATTTTTCTCATAACATGAGAATCTCGAACTTGTTGGCGCAATCCAGATAAAAATTACAACAAAAGCAGACATTGTCATCTTAATGAAACTGAAAGTAGTGGGAACTGTAATTGGTCTTATGTAGACAATACAATAATAATTCTAAACATTTAGAGTTCTCTATTGTTTGGTGTTACATATTCTGTGTGCGGTATTGTTTATTGGGTGAAAAACGGTGAAGTGCATTATTACTGGATTTTTTCTATGAAAATACAAATGGTATTTATGAATTTTATTTTTTTTTTTTCAGTTTTAGATTGGTAAAAAATTATTTTTTTTCTGAAAAGTTTAGCGATTAAAAAAAAATAACTCTTTAGACATTAAAAATCTCTATTTTTGAATCAATTATTCATTTTTTGATTATTATTTAAAGAAAAATTAATAATATGAGTTATGTAAGGAACTATATATGGACAACATAATTTTGAAAGTCTTAGATTGAGCCTATCTTGACCAGCAGCATTTGTGGTTATATTATTAATTGCCTGAAAAACAAATAAGTCATTTATTTCCTGAAATTTAAATTCTGAGTTTACTATCTATCTGTAAGGTAGAGAATGTGGGTTCTTCCACAGCAGTTGGGCCTCATAAGGCCCATTGTGCATTCTCCAGGAGCATATAGAACCTACCTCTTGTCATAACCGCTGAGAGGTGTCTAGAGTATTTGACAACTGACATGATGGTCTCTTTCTGATTAAGAAACAAAACTAATCTTAATGTACATAAGGGAATTAGCGTTTAGTGAGTAAATCTAACATTTTTTAGCTCTTTTGACAAGTAAATCCATTTCCTACACCAATTTCTGTCGAGTTCTTCAAACAGAAGTCAAACTTTTTTTCTTCCTTCATAGTTTCATCTTTTGTTACAGTTATTTCAATACTTTTGGTTCTTCTACTTTCTTCATACGACTTTTTCTATAGAAGAACCGGTTAGAGAAAAAAATTTAGAACCTAGACATTTCAACCCACATCCTTATCAAAATGGTGTTCGAAGGAGGACTAGAATTGGTCCCGTAGTATTTCCTTACGATGACGAAAACGGTAGAGATGTTAATACAAATTTTGTGCGTCCCACAGAAGAAGTTCATCCTTATCAAAAAGTTGCCAAAAAACATAGAAAGAGAAAATTTGGTAGATATGAAGCACAGGTAAGAAAATTCAAGTACACTACAGCTCGTTTGATACAAAAGATAGAAGCACAGCTTATACAATACAGCTAAAACACTCTCTTGGCGGCAACGGTTTGCGTCGATTTCGTCGCGCATCGCTTAAGCTCCGCCTTCGGAGGGAAAAGACGGTTTTGGCGTTCAGAACCGTACTTAGGTAAGGTGTTGAGTCGTGCGTGTAATTTCGTTGATTGTATAATTTCGTGGAGCCTATAATTTCGTTGATTTTGTTTGAGTTAAAGGTACTGTTATTATTTTGGTGACTCTTTAGCTGTGAGTAGAATGAGTGAAAAAAAAGACATTCTGTTTGTGCAGTCAAAAGCTGTTTTAATAAGGGTTATACCTGCAAGAAAACATTCTTTAGTTTTCCCAAGGACCCAAACCGATAAGTATCACATTATAAGAAATTTTCATTGTTAAAAATATAATTTATACAGGGTGTCCCATTAGTGCGTTATTGTTCATTATTTTGTTGTAGACACGCAAAAAAGTTTTAAATAAAAGTTATATGGATTAGAAAAATACCTACATATTTTAAAAATATCTTTGGATATACAGAGTGTCACGTTTTTGCCTGGCAAATTAAAATGTATGTTTTTTAAATGGAACACCTTGTATTTTATTTTATGATGAAATTATTAACACCCTAAATTATTGCTACAGAAAAATTTTATCAGGTATGTGTGTGGTTACCTTTTAATAAAAGCCTTGCGGATCCACTCCTGTGATACCTGTCTTAAATATAACAAAGATCACGTTAAATTAGATGATTTTTATTTTTATTGGTTTTTAAAGGCATATGATAACGCCAATTCAGATACATTTGGAAATCTACTGTCAAATGATGAATTTGTAGAACTAATATTCAATATTAAAAAGATATTTCAAAATAATTTTGTCATCCATGCTAACGTTTTCCAAAAGAATAACCTATTTTAATGTATGTTTAATCTCAATAACTAAAAAATATACTGACAATTAGTTTGACAGAATTGTCATTTATTTAAAATTTTAAAAATAATAGCAGTCGGTTGATCAAAATATGAACGGTGATTGGCGAATTTATTTTTTTTTGCAATGTTCTCACTACCTAGAATGGATATGAAATATATTCGTTCAATTGAAGGCAATAGCATACTTTTTCGTTTTGTAATCTGTGCATGGATATTAGCCAATCTACGCACATACTACAAAACGAAAAAGTAAGCTATTGCGTTCAACTACGAATATATTTCATATCCATTTTAGGTAGTGAGAAACTTTAACAAAATTAAATCTATAAATCACAGTTCATATTTTGGTCACCCAACTCCTATTATTTAAAAATTTTTAAATAAGCGACAATTCTGTTAATCGAATTGTCAATATATATTTTAGTTATTGATATTAAATATACATTAAAATTTTTGTGTAGACTCGATAAATAATAGCATTTTTGTTTTTATTGTGTCCACATTTAAAAAAAATAAATTTTAATCAAACTACATGATACTAATTTAATTACGAGTATTAAAACTAAAGTCCTGAAAGTTTCGGTGAAGATGAGGACAGAGCATCTGCCTTCCACGCGAAAAGCCCGGGATCGAATCTAGGCAGAGGACTAATTAATTTTTCATGTTTATTTTATTTTATAAATTAGTCAACTTCGTAAATTATTTTAAAATTAGTTATTTTGTCTAAATAACCTAAAATAATTTTTTAAATTTGTAGATTTTCGTTAGTGGGCCGTAGAAAAAATATACTGACCATATCGAGTGGATTGTTCATATCACAATCAGACGATTGAGTACTCCGCCTACGACGTCGTGCTCAAACTTCGTCTTTGTGTGATATGCCTATCATATCTACCCTTGTTGAACAAACTACTATTTATTTGTTTTCGTGGTTTAAGTTTTACATCAGAAATAGGAACTAAATTAATTTACTTTTCAAGTTTTCTTGTAAAAATCGATATTACTTTCTCCAAGTACAAATTTAGTACCTACCTAAAATAAGTGCTAATTATGTAATTTCGTGTAATATTGTAATTCAAATTTCACATTACTATAAAGTTTTAAAATTCCCTACTTCGGTATGGTCAGATAAAAATTGAATATATTATATTAATAAAAACTGTCAAAGTATTACTTCTACAAATCTGTATTTCAATTAATAAGAATACATCTAAATATAACCAATATTGTTAAAATAAAAGCACAAATTCTTTATAATTCCAAAATACCATAGAGTTCCCAGACCTCAGTCGAAGCATTCGTTTATCTAGGTATAAACCCTTTGCGCGAAGAGTAACACTTGCGAGACACACGGGGTACCACTTGATTTGCATCCACGAGCGTGAAAAAATTCTTTAACAATTGAAGCCCTTGGTGTTAAAAGGATCCAAGTCACAATTTGTCGTGAAGTGACTGTTTTAGCTCAAAACATTTGTTAACGAGGATTTTACTAGCCACATACAAATTATTTTACCTCCAATCCGAAAGATGTGCTATTTTTCGTAATATTTATATTTAAATAATTTTTTAATTATATTTGACAGATTTAAAACAAATTAAAAATTTAATTTCCCAAAACTTACTTAATATGGCATGTAACCAACCTTATTACGCCAAGGTTTTCAATTTTTTCAATAATAAAAAAATTGTTTAATCCGGGCCCGACTTTTCCCTCGAATCTAACAGAGATAGCACCATTCCGTCTTGCTTGGTTCTCGACCGCCAGATCAAAGACGCCGACACGGAGTTGTGGAGCTGTATTGTATAAGCTGTGATAGAAGTTTGGTTAACTGAGGAATGTTTTAAAGAATTTGATGCTGACCTAGGGTTCATTTTCCAAATTGATAAAATATATGTAGTTTTTGAGTTATTAAAAAAAAGGCTCATTTTTTATATAGTTTTCACAAAATTATTGTGTTTTTGAACTGTGATGACTTCCTTTCAAATTATTTAAGATAAAAACTAGTTCATTTGCTTATATAATATATGACCAATAATTTCCAAAAATTCGCGTCGATATAATGTTAAAATGTGTTGCTTTATAGTGGGTTACCCCGTATTGTAGATTTATAATGACCTTTCAGTAAAATTTGAGCAATTTTTACAACAAATGAATATTCATCAAACATGGAAATGATAATTATTTCACATGTGAACTTCATCTAGACCACTATATATATATACGCACAATACAAAGTGAACATGCAAATGACACCTAGCTTTATGAATATATTATAGCAATCGTAATTAAAATTGCGTCTCTTTCGCCATAAAGTGTTATGGAATAATCAAAAAGACAATTGAATAAACTAACATTGTACCTTTTATTCAAATGTGAATTCGCACATCTCTAACAGTTTCTGTTATTGTTGGAGAAGTTCCAGTGCTATTTCGTTTACAGAACGTTGAAAAAGTATTTGTTTATGAGGATAAGATAAGGTTGCCATATCATAACCAAATCATAACCTGTCAAAACCCACTGGTAGCCATCTTGTTTGGAATGTTTAATTTTGGAATTAAATTTTGTTAAACGTCATTAATTGCAACGGTTGTCAAATTTCAGTAGGAGCGCTGTCATTTATGTATCAATCGAAACCGCTCGTGATAAAAGCTTAATTTTATTCTGCAAAGAAGTTACCCAACTGCAGATGTTCTAATCAAATGCTCGACTACAATTTTTAACGATCAAACTAATAAACATCTAGTGCGCCCCTTTCGCCCTTGTTAAGTGTACCTCAACTTCCGTTTGACTCAAATTAAACCACTTTTAAACTTTTGAATGAATATTAAAAAGTTTTTCGAGTGAACTGAATACATGGGCCAAAAATGAAAAACCAACTTAATTAAATAAGTTTCGTTCGGCAGACTGTGCTACATAAAAACGATATAAAAGTTTGGTTCGGTATCATTTTCATGTATATACATGCGATTTGTAATATTTAGCAAATTTATGATATTTCAGGCTGAATTTTCTTGAATTATTTATTCAAATCAATATTTAGAACAATTTAGAGATACTCATATTTTTTTAACAGAAGTTTAGAGTAAATTATTTGTCATTTAATTTATTTATACCAAATATAACACTAATTTATATTTCTTCTACTAGTACATTAATTTATATCGACAACATTTATTGGTGCTCTTCACGTAGAAGTAGTCAGTTTAAATAGAATCTTTAATCTTGTAATCTGAAATATGAAAGTGCCTTACCACCCACACAAAGTGTAAATAGTCAAACTAAATTAAATAATGCTCAAAGGTTAAATGTTGCTAAATACTAGAAAATAAAGGTGTGACCAACAAAGAATGATAGTCAGAAAAATCTACGCTTTCCCAAATACAAATATTTTTCAAACTAAATTTTTACAAACAATAGAAAACAATGGAAGCAAAAATAATTGATTATTAAAAAATAATATTACGTGTAGAAGATAAATCTTAAATAACACTTCCAAAATGTAGGTAATGTTTATTGTTGTCTTTTTTTTAATGACACTGAAATGTTGCTGATTTAAATGAGAGTATAAACAATAGAATATCAGCTATTTACCAAATTGTTAAACAATGTATAATGGAATGTTTTTGAAGATGCAATCAGTAAAGAAATTTGCATAAAATTAAGAAACCGTTTTCGAGAAGAAAAAAATTAATACAAGAATTAATGTTTTATTTTTTTTAAAAAGAAATCATGATTTCCAATTTTTTTTTGTAAAAAGCGCATCAACTATTTCCTGAATATTTTCCTCGAAGAATTCAGTTCGCAAACTGGCTGTTAGATCAGCAACGAACAAACGGAAACTTCATTAGCCCTATTCTTTTTACCGATGAAGCAGGGTTTACCAAAAATGATATTGTAAATTTACATAACTCGCATGTATGGGCTGATGAAAACCCTCATACTACTGTTAGTAAAGAGGCAGCACCGGTTCGGGCACACTTCTTATGTAAATTAACATGGGAAATCGCCAAGGTTTATTCTGCACTAAATCGAGACCATTTAAAGGTCACGCGCATATCTATTAATAGATTCGCGATAGGTGATTGTTGCAAGTGTCACAATGAATGAGTGTATAAGAAGAAGCGAAGATAATTAATAATTCGTTTCATTCAGAAGATAAAAAAATATAGTATGTGTATAAATACAATAATATAGACAGTAAATAATTAGTACTCAATATGAGACTTGTCTTTGATTATGTAGATGAAAAAAATAAATGCTTGTGAATAAAATTAACAAATAACATTCAGCGATAATTAGAATGCTGAAGCAATATCTAAAAATAAAGTGCTCACTATTTTAAGAAACGTTGATTGTGTACTTTTATATAAAACTGTAACGAATTATATTGAGGAAGGTACAATTATTGTATACAATCGTTCGTTGTGACACTTGCAATAATTATCTATCGCGAATCTAGTGATAGCTATTGATGGTTATTTCCCATGTTAATTTACATAAGAAGTGTACCCTAGCCGGTGCTGCCCCTTTACTACTGTTGTTCATCATTATCAACATCAGTTCCAATCAATTAATGTTTGGACAGGAATAATTGGCAATTTTTGTTTGGACCATGTGTATTGCCGCCCCGATTGAATGGTGAACTTTATTTATAGTTCCTTCTGGATTCAATAGAGCATTTGCATGTACTTTAGCTTTGCTGTACGGGACCACCTGCATAACGTCTAACGAAACCGTTGGATAGGCAGAGGAGGTCCAATTTCCTAGCCTCCACGGTCTCCCGACCTAATGCCAATGGATTTTTAGAGACTAGTTAAGAATTTCTATGTTTTACAAAGTATTGATGAACGCATTGGAAGATAATGTTTTAAAATTATTTGTTTAACTTACCATTTAAACACTGAAGACAAAGCTTCTTAAGTATCTGAAAAAAAAAAAAATTACTTAGACCCTTCTGGTGATAACGTGAGGTTTATATTCTTAAAAAATTTAAATCACAAAATATTTCATGTTTTAAACATTATATTTCCCAAAATAACATAAGTTTGGTCAAGTTTGAAGTTGAATAGTCCAACTAGTTGTTTGCTACTGCATCTTAAGAAAGAAATATTCAGTAGTTGGATGTTAAAACAGCCAGGAATAGTTAATTAAATAAATTAATTGAGGGCTTCAGAATAATAGGGGTATAAGTGTATTTTGGAATAAAAAGGGCACAAGTAACGCTTGTATCTCTAGGAATTTTTCACATAGTATTTCTACTCACCAAAAGATGGCAGTCTAGGTCAATATATCACTTAACTCTGTTTTGCTTATATCCCTTTTATTCCAAGGCCCTCATTTGTTAATATCGTGTAGAGGGCCGACTAGAGGGGGGGGCAGCCGGGAGCAATTTCTGGGACCCGAGCGCAAATGGGGGCCCGGCAGCGGTATAAGGGGGGGCCGCCCGGTCAGCGGTGGTGCAAAAAAATTAAATCTACCAATCACAGTTCATATTTTGGACACCCAACTACTATTTATTATTTTTAAAATTTTAAATAAGAGACAATCCTGTCAAACTAATTGTCAGTATATTTTTTTAGTTAGTTAGATTAAATATACATTGAAATAATAGCATTTTTATTTTTATTTCATATCCACTCTTGTTACATAAACTACTATTGCCAGAACACATTTTTCTTTTACTATTACGTGGCATAATCTAATGAATCAATACAACTCTTGGAATCGTTGTAAAATACACATTTGATACTACACATTTCCGTTTATTTAATAAATTTTCAAACTTTCCATCCAATTTTAAAAAAGGTTATCTACAAAAGTTTGCGAACTTCGTTGATCCGAATTTTTGTCCCGAATTTTAGGTAAACGCTGAAATATTAATTGCAGTTCGTCAAACGTGTTTTGCTTTATTTTTAGGATGAAAAGATTAATCCTCAGCTCGAGCAAGCCCTAGCAAAGCACGGAGCTAAAGTTCTTAAACTTGCTCCTGAAAAGTTGGCAAAGGATCATGTACCATTTACTCGAGATATTGTAAGTAGAAAATTTGTAACTTTTGTTATTTCAAGTTTGATAATAGGTATTTAATTACTCTTCTGTATATTGTTTCCCACAAGGGTGTAGACAAAGGATTGTTTGAAAAGGATATCAAATATTAAATTAATTATATTAAAAGTTACCTGCGTCGCTATACTATTTATACATAAGGGGAGGTTTTAAATAATATACCTAGCCATGAAAGGATTGAGAAAAATAAAATGTATATACATATATATTCCTTCAAAAAAGAAATTAATTTAGTAAACTTCTCAAAGTAATCATTAAGGTCACTTTCATAAAAAAAACTGTTCCCATAATTTTTTTTACCAATGGACGCTGGAAGTCAGATCTAGAGTATATAGTACATATTACCAACTCCCAGAATCCACATTCCTCGATAATATGTTTAACTTTGGCCACAGGAACCGCCGATAATTGTAGGGCTCTTCATATACTTTCCCAGAAAACCGTAGTCATCTATTTTTTCGACAAACATTTTTTGTTTGATGTTAGACCAAATTTTATCACAAGACATCCAATTTTCATGAAACAAGTTTATGTTTTGTTGTGAGAAACCTACGAATCCATTTTAATGACACTTTTTCAACCCTTAATTTTCATGTCAAATATTTAAAACTATAAGTAGCACTTCTAAAATAATTTAATGTTTCTATCTCTAGTATTCGGCAGATTATTTTATGTCCAATACATCTAGGTTCCAAAGATCAGTAATTGAAGTACGAAGCAATACATTTGTTTCGATTAATGAACTATTGTTGTCCCATTACAGTCCAACCCAATTTTGTTTCAACTGCAAAAAATGTATCATTAATATTATCTATGTTACCTGTTAACAGTTTTCCAAAATTATCAGCACCTATTACTAAACTTATTTCACATTCGTTATTACTTGTGTCACTTAAAATAATATCTTTATTTTTCAAATACTCAATTATTTTTATATCATTCAACTTTGGAATGTAAAAGATTCATCTAAATTATGAATATCTGCAATAAATAATTGATATTTTTTGGATTAATTTTCTCTGCATATTTTGTGTATGAGCACCTGTATCTAATAACATTTTAACATTTTTACATTTATTACCTGCATAAAGTTTACCCTTTAATGTTTGCAAAAGTGTTTCTGATACAGTAGTTATTTAAGTGCTTTGAACATTTTATCATCTGGGTTGTTAATTTTGTTTTTATTTTCATTTGCTTTTTTTGCAAGTCAGAACACATGATAGCATAGTTTTTCTTGCAAAAATAATGCATTTCACAAGTATGATTCAATTTTAGACAAGAACAATCTCTTTTTTTAATTACAGTGACCTTTTCTGGTCTAAAGTTATATTTTGTACTTTTATAGCAAAAGCAACAAATATTTTGACTTCTACTTTAGAAGGATCAGGTGAAAGACCATCTGCAGAAATTATATGAAATGTTTTGTGCCTGGTCCTTTAGAATTCTATTAACTAAATTTATTTTTTGCTATCCTACTTCCCCCTTTTTGTCTACGCCATTGCCTGTAATATGAGTAAACACTTAATGAAACTTTGGGGTGCTTTTGATGATATTGTGATGTTCCTGTTTGTTTTGAATACTCTGAATTTCTTTCGTGTAGTGGGATAATTTGTCACATATTTTGTTCTTAATTATTTATTACGGTTTGCTCTAATTTAAATAATTTCCAGTGGAAGATCATATTTTATCTTCTATCGCTTTTTATTGGGTAATATTTAAAAAATATTATCCACACATTAAATCCGATACTTAACTCCAAATTTATCATACCAGTAAATTTGGTTATCAATTTTTCAAAGTTCCAAACGATTAAATTTTATTAGTTTTTGAAATTAACATTTCTCGTCTGGTGTTCTTCGATACTAGCCAGGTACCTATCCATCATCATAATTAAATGAACTGACATTAAATGTAAGCTATGAATTTTGTAATCTTTATTCATCAGTCATCGCAATCTACGTACGAAGTTTGTGCAATATTGGTGCAGATAATCTATTGGAATTATATTTTGCATTTTTTATAGGACATATCAATTTTATGTGAAGTCAACGTTTAGCATAGCGCCGCCATTTTATAGCAGAGTAAAGCTTATTTTTCTATCTTTAATATAACTTTTTCAAGATAACTTCTGGTCGAATCATATTCCCAAGAACTTTATGGAATGAAAGATATGTTTTAATTGTATAACTGTAAAACTAGAAAGAAGTGTTTTGAAGGTTACAATGCCAGTATATTTTTTCAAGAATAAGTTAAATTTCATTGTCCAAATTCGTCAAAAAAGATTGTAAGAAAGTTTTATCACACTTTACACTTTTTTTTCCTAAGAATAACCGTTTTTGAGACAGCGATTCAAAAATACGTTTAGAATCGTCCACAAATCTTTCTAAAACCATCAACTTTAAATTTCTTTCCAAATCTTTTATATTGTCTTAAATATTATTTCATAGCACAAACGACACAACTATGCATTTTCCTATAAAGTGTTGGACCATTCATCTGGTGACGATTTCTCTCATTCTCAAGTTCAGGATTCTTCTGCGACTAATGGTGAATATAGAGTAAAGTTGCCAGACGGAAGGCTTCAAATTGTATCTTATACTGCAGATCATAATGGATACAAAGCCGATGTTAAATATACCAAAAGTAAGGATCATCAACATGAACCTGAAAAGATTTATCGAGGTCAGTAGTAAATAAAGTTTTCTTTGTTTTTTTTGTTTTTAATTCCAATTTCTCAAATAATTATTCGGTAATAAAGTTTGATTGTGTGCCACTATCATATAGCGCCTTATTTAAGCAACACCTAGAATACAACTAAATCATATGACCTGTTTTTATGATATTATGAGGTAATAATAGTTTTTTAGATCACTTACTATATTATTTCTACTCCTTGGGCACATTTAATTAATATGAGAAAGCTTCAGTAATGCCAACTAAAGAAATATTTATTTTTATTTCAATTTCTCAAAAAAATTTTTGATAATAAAATTTGATTGTGCACCTGTATCTAATAGCACCTTACATAAAAACTGGACATAGGATTTAGTTGTGCATACAAACTATCTATTATTCAAGAAGTCGACGACTGCGACATACCAAACATTCTCAATAAGTTTGGGTACTAAAAATATTAGCGAATATTTTGCATCTATAGAAAGAACATTATGTAATTAATTTTATTAACGTTATCATTGAAATCCATGTAATAAAATGTTATTAATCATAGTTTTTTGGATCTCTTACTGTATTATTTCTATGTATTTTTCCCTTTTTAGTTTTCTTTGTTTCTTTTTTATTTTTTTTGTCTTTTTTAAGTTTCTTTTTGTTTTTTAATTTATCTCACAACCGTTTACAGATCCATTGTATCAAATAGAGCAAATACCAGTCAGACAACTGCATCCAGTAAAAACAAACACGAACCAGCAGCACCAGCAGCAGCAAATAGATTACTACGATGACGTACATCCGGTCAATCAGCCAATAGTTAAACTAAAAACAGTGGTGCCAAATGCCGAACGGCACGGTTACGACGGTTACGCCAGCTACGATTCCGACTACGGAAGCATCGTTGTCACTCCGAGCCCTGGATATTCAAATGGCGCCGTTAGTGCCAATGCAAATTTCCAGGTTGGTTAATTTAGTGTAAATTGGATTGTAATTGGTCGATACGTTAATGTGTGCGAGAAGAGGAACGCTTACTGTGTAAATGGTGAATTTAGATTTTGGGATTTTAATGGATTAGCCAGGTGTGAAATAATTCGATTTTTACTGGGAAAATCTAATATCGTTTAATATTGCGAAGAAGAGTAATGAAAAATGCACAATATAAATTTTTTTATTACATATTAAAACTCGGCAAGATATTTTAATATATTTTTATACAGATAGACAGCTTTCCAGCAATATAGCAATATATTTTTTTTATATTAATATACCGGGTGACAATGAGACTAGGGTCAAGTTAATATATCTTTTATTTAGGAACCAATTTATATTAATTTTAGACGAACATTCAAAAATTAAATCAAAACTAGTTCAAAAATTGATTCAAAAATTTCACAATTTAAAAATTTTGGGGTGGCATTTATTGATCCTGAGGAGGGTAAACTAAAAGGGTTAGGATTTCAGTTTCATTTTCATTTTTGGTCATTTTCTCAGCTTTGACTACAATTTTGACTAGGTCCATATCTAGAACGGTGTTATTTACATTATCTAAATTGTCTGGACTCTTTCAAATCTTCTAAGACGTGAAGTAAATTCTCCAAACTTTCATTTGGATTAGTATTCTACATACTTTTTAATTCAATAGTGTCTGTGTTCTCAATACTTTTTGGTTCGAGATTTAGACGCAACAAAAATAGTTGACTATTTTATAAAAATCTTGTTATATTACCCTTGAATATTATTTTTAGCTCCCTTTGCCGCTAAACGTGCAAATCTATACAACAAACGCAAGAGATTACATGGTTGGAAATTACATTCCATTTGCATCAAGTACTCAGCGAAGTTACCATTCCAAAGACGTCCATCATTATCGACATAATTTAATATCGCCTCAAATAATCAACAACGGCGATCACGGGCTCGTCCTTCCGCTATCGACGCCATCATCTTTCGTGCTTACCGATCAACATGGACAAGTTATTGATAATATAAATTTGGTGTCTTCAACTGCTGTACCCTTCGTTGTGTCTACCACTCCCGCACCAGGTGGTTACGGATCGATCCATTCAACTGTGGCGCCGCATATTAGATATAAGTAGAAATGGCAGTAAGATTTCATTTTATCATTAAGTGAAGTGTATTTATTTATTTATTTAATGTACAATTTTTATTTAGCTTAAGATATTTCTCATTCCAATTGTAAAGGTTTTGAAATGCTTTTCTCAGGATTTACCGGAATGTGTCCAGTAAAGAAGGAAATTCGAGACGATAATTAAGTTGCAATAAAGTTAACTCTGAATCAGTATTTTAAAAATAAAGCTTCTTTTGTTTCACAATAATTCTGCATCTATAAAAAATACAGGCACTGATTTAGTCTAATTAGTGTTTGGGCTAATTTAGTTAGGTTGGGTAGACATATTTTTTTCCAAAGATAATAATGGACTTACACTTAATAACTCAAAGAAAGTGTCTACTTAAATCAACAAGTCGACTTTACAACATTTATAAAAGGTTGTATTTGCTAATTTTATATTGTTAGGGATTCTAGCATGAATGCCATTTAAATTTTTTTTTAAAAATTTTCTCATTAATTTTAGAAACCACTAAAAATCGCAATGTTTTGTTAAAAATTAAAATTATTAGATTGAATTGTGACTATAGGCACTTCTGATTAATATAAGAAACAGTTTTTCATTTCTAATTTCAATTCCTCAAAAAATTTTTCGTCAATTAAATTTGTTTGTGAACCGGTGTCTAATAACACACTACATGAAAACTGGTCATAGGATTTATTTGTGCATGTAAACTACCTACTATTCAAGAAGTCGATGACTGCAGCGTACCTAAAATTCTCACTAAAAATATTAGCTAATATTTCACCTCTATAGAAAAAACATAATATACTTAATTTTGTTAACATTTTCGTTGAAAATTTTCAGTAAACTCATTCAATAAAATGTTATTATAAGTTAATCATAGTTTTTTAGATCTCTTACTGTATTATTTCTACTTCGTAACGTTTAGTGTAGTTTTTTGTATGTAATTTATTCTAAATAACATTTTTATACAATAATAAAATTTAATTAAAAAAATAAATTATATTCTCTCTTTTATTTACCTCTCTATATATATATTACTAGAAATCGACTGGAAAGTAAACATTAAACAAGCATTAAACAAATAATATTTCTAAAAAAAATAAATCAATCAAATCAAAAATAGTACAGCACGCTCGTCCTTTATTGGTTTTCATTTTTCACAAATTTGATTAAAAGTTGTTGAGTCTACGAAGTGAATTCAAACATTCTCAGTTCAAACATATCTTGAAAATATATCATATAATAATGCCTTCTTGAAAATGTCAGCGAAATTCTCGTTCTTCTTCCGATGTGATGGAGTATATCATAAAAGAAATGAATTATTGATTTTTAGTGTTTGTAAATTCGTGTCTTAGTAAAATTTCTCATTCCAATCCTGTAAGAAATTTTTTGATGAGTACCATTCTTTTCATGTCGTCTCACTTTTGCATTTCTTACAAACTCCAATATATTTTTAATTGGAAGCTATATATCGCTAAGGGACAAGAACGACAAAAGCAAGACAAGTATCTTCTTATTTTTTTTTATCAGAACGGAAAATTAAAAGCAAACTGGAAACTTCAAATAAGTCTAGGAAAGCGAGCTGCGAGTGTCAATTAAAAACGGAAAAACAAAAGAAGATCGTCGCTTACTTTTCCACAGCTAATAAAATGTCTCCTTTGTGACTCGTTTATAACGCAAATTGTTTTGCCGATGGCTGTTTGATTTTTGTTCATTTTTATCGGGAAGCGATACGGTGAATACGAAGACCAAACATAGTAATATAAGGAGTATTAAGGGAATACCTAAATGTTCAAGTTTGCTGGAAATAGGAAATATGCTTTTTACACTCGCAGGAAGTTGGAAAAATAATAATACATTTCAATGCTACATATATATAGCTATATATACAGGGTGTTATTGAAATACACGTACATATTAAAATGGGGAATAGTATGTACTGACCAAAAACGATTGGCACCAATTTTAACTTCAAATTCTAAAATTTAAATATTGGGGAAGAGTCCCCTTTTCCGACCTACTAGTTTCCATATTTAAAGAAGTAAAATAAATCGAAATTGAACTTACCCATAGAAATTGCACTGTTGCCGTAGCAAAACCAATTAATTCAAAATAAAGTTTATTACAGTAATTGTTCAAAATGCCGTCCATTATTATTTACACACACTTGCAATCGTCTTTCCAAAGAACTTTGAACATTAGAAATTAGTCTTGGACTTTGTCGTAGTTCCTCGGCTACCGCATTAACTTTATTGGTTAATTGTTCAACACTATTAATAGATTCATTATAAACCAGTTGTTTCATGTGACCCCACAAAAAGAAATCGCATGGATTTAAGTCCGGAGATCTCGGAGGCCACTTAGTAGGTCCATTTCTGCCTATCCACTTTTGAGGAAATCTAATGTTCAAAAACTGCCGTACGTTTAAATCAAAGTGAGGAGGAGCGCCATCTAGTAGGTACCACATCCGTTGCCTTAATTGTAACGGTATCTCTTCTAGGAGTACTGGCAAAATATCTTCTAAAAAGTGGAGATATCCTGGCCCATTTAATCTGTTCGGGAGAACATAAGGCCCGATTAAATACTGATCTATTATGCCAGCCCAAACATTTATTGAAAATTTTCTTTGATGCCCAGTTTCCCTAATGGCGTGAGGATTTTCATCACTCCAAATATGCGTATTGTGCATATTGAACACGCCATCACGAGTGAATGAAGCCTCGTCAGTATACAATAATATTTTTAGAAAATCAGGAATATCAACACATTTTTGAATCATCCATTCACAAAACTCCACTCTCTTTTCTTCATCACCTGAATATAAGGCCTGGACTTTTTAGATGTGATAAGGATGTAAACCTTGTTCTTTAAGTGTCCGCCACACAACAAATGAGGACACTCCAATTTCAAGACCTAGTCTTCTACAACTTAATTGAGGCCGGTTTTCAACAGCTTCCAATATTTCTTCTTCGGCCGCCAATGTTCTTTGTGTTCTTGTTCTCCCTCGATCTGCATTGACACTCTCAAATTTTCCATGGTCTCTTAGATGCTGAACAGTTGAAATAAACGTACGACAGTCCGGAATTCTCCGATTTGGAAACCGTTCGCGATACAGGATTTGTGCTTGCCGAGAATTTTCTCCAGCTGCCCCATAAACCAGCACTGTATCCATTAGTTCAATATTCGTAAATAGTGGCATCGTAAAAAAATATTTAAAAGTAATCGTAACAACACTTTTTACCAACTTGGAAATGACGCGCTCGTGTTAGCCAGATTCGTAAATCATCTAAAATTTTAATAATCTATAGTTTCAAAAATGTATAGTTTAAAAACAATCATTTATCAAATATTCTAGTTTTTTGATAACGAGGGTAGTAAAAACCAGTCTTCGGAAATAGAAATTAATTCGAAAATCTTGGCAACATGGTTATTTCTTACAAGACTAGTTTTCTTATCATCTGACAAAAACTTGCATATTAATTACTGTTGATGTTTAAAATAGGTAAATAAACCTAATTTATATAGGTCATCCTCAACATATCAGTGAAGTACGTTTGTTTTAGAATTAATTTTCAAAAATTAATAACTCCCTTAATAAGGGGTATTTTTAAAAAATAATATTTTTCTACATTCAGTGGGGATCTGCGCAATACCCAGTTTTAATATGTACGTGTATTTCAATAACACCCTGTATTGTTATGGTAAATTTTTCATTTTTAAATAAAGTAATTTTCACATATATTACAGTTATGCAGTGTCACCCTGTATATCAAATTTTTATTTTGAATCGGATATCGAAGGAGGAGATTGTTTTTGGAAGTCAAGTAAGACAAGTCAAGCCAAGTCAAGTAAGTCACGTCAAGTAAGTCAAGTCTGTCAAGTCAAGTAAGTTAAGTCAAGTCAAGTAAGTCACGTCAAGTAAGTCAAGTCAAATAAGTCAAGTAAGTCAAGTCAAGTAAGTCACGTCAAGTAAGTCAAGTCTGTCAAGTAAAGTAAGTTAAGTCAAGTAGGTCAAGTTAAGCCAAGTAAGTCAAGTCAGTCAAGTAAGTAAGTCAAGTAAGTAAGTCAAGTAAGTAAGTCAAGTAAGTAAGTCAAGTAAGTAAGTCAAGTAAGTAAGTCAAGTAAGTAAGTCAAGTAAGTAAGTCAAGTAAGTAAGTCAAGTAAGTAAGTCAAGTAAGTAAGTCAAGTAAGTAAGTCAAGTAAGTAAGTCAAGTAAGTAAGTCAAGTAAGTAAGTCAAGTAAGTAAGTCAAGTAAGTAAGTCAAGTAAGTAAGTCAAGTAAGTAAGTCAAGTAAGTAAGTCAAGTAAGTAAGTCAAGTAAGTAAGTCAAGTAAGTAAGTCAAGTAAGTAAGTCAAGTAAGTAAGTCAAGTAAATAAGTCAAGTAAGTAAGTCAAGTAAGTAAGTCAAGTAAGTAAGTCAAGTAAGTAAGTCAAGTAAGTAAGTCAAGTAAGTAAGTCAAGTAAGTAAGTCAAGTAAGTAAGTCAAGTAAGTAAGTCAAGTAAGTAAGTCAAGTAAGTAAGTCAAGTAAGTAAGTCAAGTAAGTAAGTCAAGTAAGTAAGTCAAGTAAGTAAGTCAAGTAAGTAAGTCAAGTAAGTAAGTCAAGTAAGTAAGTCAAGTAAGTAAGTCAAGTAAGTAAGTCAAGTAAGTAAGTCAAGTAAGTAAGTCAAGTAAGTAAGTCAAGTAAGTAAGTCAAGTAAGTAAGTCAAGTAAGTAAGTCAAGTAAGTAAGTCAAGTAAGTAAGTCAAGTAAGTAAGTCAAGTAAGTAAGTCAAGTAAGTAAGTCAAGTAAGTAAGTCAAGTAAGTAAGTCAAGTAAGTAAGTCAAGTAAGTAAGTCAAGTAAGTAAGTAAGGCAAGTAAGTAAGTCAAGTAAGTAAGTCAAGTAAGTAAGTCAAGTAAGTAAGTCAAGTAAGTAAGTCAAGTAAGTAATCAAAAAAGTAAGTAAGTCAAGTAAGTCAGTCAAGTAAGTCAATTCAACTCAGTCAAGAGTTTTATTTTTTTGATTATTGAGAAATAAAATTGAAATAAAATTGAAATAAAATTGAAATAAAATTGAAATAAAATTAAAATTAAAACAAAGTAAAAAAATAAATACAAAGAATGTTATTATTAATAAATCTGAAGCACCCCTGAGATAAAGAAAATCTTTTGTTCGAATTATAAGATAAAGTGGAAAGTCGAGGGCCATATTTATAATTTGTGTTGGGTTCAACTTTTAATAACCTACAAATCCAACAGGCAAAGATGAATTTTACAAAATTCCAGTTTCTCCTATATCCTAATAAAACTTTTGGTAATATAATATTTTGAATATGATATTAGTTCCGTATAATATAAAGGAAAATG